AAATAACTCACCCTCGATAGATGAACTGATCACACTGCACAGGTTGCGCTGGCTTGGCCACGTGTTGCGTATGCCAGTCGACCGACTTCCTCGAAGGGCTCTTTCCGCCCAACCATGTGAAGGGTCCATAGCTCCTTTTCCAACCCCCCGCCACTTGACAGCCCACTGACAGTGCTGGATTTATGCACCAATTTACCAGCTCGCGCGTGCAATGCGCAGCTACCTACCCCCCCTCCCCAAATCATCGGTGAACGAAACTGCGGCAGCTACAACCAGTGTGCGACGAGTACGCGGTTCTTACAGCTGACAATGATGATGATGATGATGTGGTCTGGCCAGTCTCCGCACTCGCCGTGTGCTGTTTACGGTAGAATATCTGCATCGTTCCCGCAACCCCTAAAGTATTTGGTTGCTTGACATCCTTCTTGAGGTCTCGAGATCTCCATTGCTGACTGACTGTGACACTGCTTGCGCGTCACTTAGTGTACTTTTTCGTTGCAAGTGTGATCTTGCCTAACTGACCAGTGTCACTTCCACGCCTTCCCCGTGGCAGAAATGTAGAACCAAAAGTCGTACTTGAAGTTGCTGTTATTGGTTGCAACTTCACGATATCGTAACGACTGGTGAAGTACTGGCTTCTGGGGTGGTCCATGGTGCCCGATGATGTATACGATACAGCCTTGGTCCTTGAGATGTTTTCTTAGCTCTGACTTACACCCTCTTCATCCTGCGACATTTCGGTTTCCTCGTTAAATCTCTCGAAAGACATCCAAAAACCCCGATAGAAATCTAAAGATGATGAGTCTTTCCACGGTTGTTTAACGGCTGACACGAGACCAAAGACCTTGAACACTTTAGTGCTCCTACCGACTCAACTCGAGAACTTGGTAGACATCTTCGCATGAAATAAGAACCGACTAGGGCACTCAATCTAAGATAGTCCTCCCTCGAGGGGAACACCTTCGGGGACTCCAAAATGTCCTTTTTCGTGAGAACAGTTCCCTTCTGTTTTGGTGCATTTATTTTACGATTTAAGCAAACCCTGCAACCACCTACAACTAACAAAAACTCTCCGTTGGATTTCAATCGTCCGTGGCACTGCCTGGCTGGGAAGTCCTGATAATTGGACCAGTCAATCGACACAGCCAGGACAGTCACTGAATGGTCATTCAAGCCGTTGAACTGAACGAACCACATCACTCGGATGCGAACACACTCGCCTGTCCTGGTGCGCCATTGTGTGCTGATATTTGCTTACCCTGAATTTTGGGTTTCCTGGGTTCAAATCCCGGCACAGCCAAGGAGGTGTGCGCTTCCACTACTAGGTGTGAACTCACCATAATGATTGCATCAGTACAGCAGGAGGACTGTTTAAACGACACTGATCTAAGTGCAAACTCTACAAATCCCACAACCATGTACTAGTAAGATGAGTGGTGTGGACACAAATTTCGCCTCCCTCTTAACCCTTCGCGTATATTTCTTTGTACTTGTTATATTCCCCATTTTTTCAGTGCTCAAACAGCTCTCTCCCTCATGGCTCACTTGGATTTATTCGCTCAGCGAAAATGGGCCTTTGAATTACGGTTACGCCAACTTCATCATATAGCCACTTGTACCATGCCCTTGGAAGAAATTTTCCGCGAGAAAAAACGCTTCCAAACTGATGTCGAATCCAAACGCGACTTTCAGGCAGATGAAGCCGGCGAGTCGGCCTTTCTGCACTCGGACGATTCCACTTCGATCGCTTCTCAACATCAGACAGCCACAAAACTGGACGACGAATCAGGCTTTGAAGGGATTAGCACGGACACATTATCTGCTGCCTCCAATCCTCTGATTGCTGCAAACGTGCATGCTTTCGCCTCTATTTTCCCCTGCAGTCCAACCAGGGCCAGAAACTACCGTCAATCTTCCAAGCCTGAATGTTTTCCAACTTTTTCTCAAATAGTTTCTCTGATCACAGGCACTTCGTCGCGTCCCAGTAGACGGTCAACTGCCGTATCCGAATCCAATAAAAAGTTACAGATTCTGGATGACACCCTCCTCTCTGTGGGTGGCCTCTCACTGACAACTTGTGTCTATCGTATACTGAACGGCGTTACGTGGCCGTGGCTCGTGGAGGTCATACGTTTGGTACGCGAGGAGCTTCTGTCGGATGTCCATTACCTACCCGCCGCCATGGCAAACAGCAGCGTCGAAAGGGAATTCCAAACGGTCAGTTCCTAGTGTGTCGCCGATTGTATTTTTCTCACATTGTGTTGTTCTCTTAGTCGCAAACGAGTTTGGTATTTACATGGCTGTCCAAGGAGTCTTTCGTTTACAATGTTCAATTGAATGTGCTGCACAAAACCTGCTCTGGGTTGTTATCCACGTTATCAGAGTAATTCTTCGTGATACGTAACTAAATTAATGCTCATGACAACTTGTTGGCATACCCTTGCCTGTTTAAACCCGCTAATGGTTCTTCAGGTAGACAGCCCACCAATCTTAACTCTTATTTGACTAGTAAACGAAAAACCATCGTTGGAAATTCAGGAACAACACCCACCCGGTGACGTGCGAACAAACCAAAACTGCCAGTGGCATGTTGCTTAATTTCCCTTGACTTTGTACGTATTTCTCCTCTTAGACTATCGTCTCCACCCAACTGACAAGTTCCCTTCTAAAACCTCAGCCCACTCTGGCAGCGGCAAACATTTTCGACGCCCAATTCATTCTCAGACCAACATTAATATCCAAGGGTCACTGATCCTATCCGTCTACACTCAACTCCTAGAGGCAGAGTCTGGCATAGTTGCGTTTTTCGTGCATTCACCACATTTCTAGGTCAATCCCTGGATAAATTCCCAGATCTACAGCTTGATACCTATAGAACCATTCTGTAATAACACGTGAATAAAAAGCACGCTATTCCTTGTGATGTCTTCAAAGATGCCTTGCGAATTCGATTGTCTTAAGCAGGTGATCGTGTTATAGAGCAGATAATATCCCTTACTGGTTGTTTTCCTTGATAGCTATATGGTTGTATTCGAGAGAGAGAGAGAGAGAGAGAAAGGCATTGCTGAGTAGGTTACCGACCAGGTGGAATATTGTTTTCACAACCTGACTACTCATGAGTAGCCAAGTTATCAAACTATTCCGCTTACTCATTCGCGCCGTCGACAGTCTGTGAGATTCGCCACCTTCACTAGTCTAGCCGGCTGCTGAGTAGTCTCTAGCTCAAAACCTGGGCGTTGGCGTGTGGCAGTGTGATGGATACCATAGGTCAGCCTGGTGCTTCGTAACATGTACAAAGTGACCTGCGCTTTTCATCGTTGGATTAGTTGTTTCCTGGATCCATCATCAGATCTTGTGTGAAAATCGTTAAGTTGTAAGGGTAGTCAAGTAACCAGTTGAAAAAGCAAGTTATTAGCACAGCTATGATCTCGATAATGGTCCCAATTTTTCACCGTTATGATGGTGTGTCCATGTGCAGTTCTTATTCCTCAACAGATTACTTACAGTTTTGTTGACCAAGCCACTTTGAACCTCGTGAAATGCACTCCTTTGGTTTTTACAGGAGACCCAACTGAATCTTTCTTTTATGTTAGTCTTCAACTGAATGTCCTGCACAAAGACCCCTCACGTTTAATTTGGCAGGATACTTGAAATATCGAAATGTATTTTCTTGGATGGAACTGCTCACAAGGTTGCTGAAAACCCTCCGACTATCAGAGTTCTCGATAACCTTGTTATTAGTTCCATTCAAGAAATTCTCTCTGGACCCCCTTTTCTGGCCAGGAATTGCGATTTTCAGCACATTTCGTCTGCTCGTTTTCAGGACAAACCTATTATTTTGCTGCGAATGCAGCTAACTATCTCAAAGGATAAACTTCTGCACATTGTTTATCTATTGCCCAGCAAACCGATAGTTCTTCCATCCATCTGGGAAAATGACTGTGATTTTAGGAATTAAGCGATAAAAAGTTCATGCTTTCTTCGGAACTATCATGTCAATGAGCTGTCGTGGGCTATCGAAGTTTTCAGCAACCTTATACACATATATATTATATACACATATATACATGTATCGCAATATCCCGAATATTGTGCCAACTGAAACATGAGGCAGCCTGGTGCAGCACATTCATTTGCTTAAAAACACCATAAACGAGAGATTCAGCTGGGTTCCAGGTGAGTCTCCCGTCAAAACCATATGGGTATGTAAATGAGTGTATTCTGTTTTTCTTTCCTAATGGGATCTACATTATCAGGATTGTGATGAACAACATCCCACAATTTTGTCGTCGGCCTTTGCGTGAGTAGTCCAGGATTCAAGCCTAAAGGGCCACTTAGCGGATCCCACTTATCTCTCCGGACTCTATGTTGACGATTAGACAATATTTCGTAAAAACAGTGAACTGGTTCTTTTCCATCCTGCGATCTGCCGTTTATCACACAGTTGGTTGGGCGCGCAGTGTCGTCGCACGTCAGGTTCATCTCCTTCTTGATCCAAAACAGTTTGCTTCTGGATACCTAACTGCCTGAAGTTGCTTCAGTCTTGGTATTTTGTTTCTCTTCAATTTGAAACCCCAAGTTTCGTACAGTCCAATGTCTTCAGGATAATCTATGTTCCTGTCTTTAGGTTCCGCTAAGCACCACATTGTCCTTACACACCTGGAAAGTCTATCCACTTCGTTCCGTTCCCTAAATTCTGTTAGCTATGAGTCAAATTTACCGAGTCGCGTTGGTGCAAGCTACCTTGATTTCGTTTCTTACTTATACCCAGTAATTGTTTACTTTTTGTCCACATCCTTATGAAGACTGAAAAAGAGGAAACCGAGGCACTACTCACTGCTTTGGCCTCGCTCACTGCAAGTCCTCCGAAAACGACCGGTGAATCTAACAGTTCGAGAGGCCTCACGCAGAACATGATGAACTCGGAACCAGATCATGATCCAGGTCATTCTGAAAACCCTTTACACACTGGAAGAACAATGTTGCCACCACCTCCGCTTCCGAAGGCCCCGCGGCGTCTTGCAGACCGCCGACGAAGTCCTCGGGATGCAGCTGAGGGCGTTTTTTGCCAGCCCAGGGCTATGCGAGCTGTACAAGCACGAAAGCACAAACACGCTGCTGGTATGTATTTGTCTTGTTCATTTATTCCGTTTTCGTATTCACAACGTCTCTGCATGGACGCTATCCCTCATCAGCAGCACCTATCCTTATCTCACATATGGGCTGAACAAGTGAACATTGACTTACCAGCGCACCAGAATCATCGCGTTTGGTAATATGCGCGTGTTCTTGCTTCCAGCGACCTGAGTGATGCTTCCAACGGTTGAAAACAAGACATGGACATCTGGTATCCTGCTACAAGTTAAGATGTTTCCTCTGTGACCTCTGATTCGAACTGTAATTGCTAAGGAGGTACGAGTCTTAGACCGGATTCAACGGTTATCACTCTACTTAATTAAAGAGGAGAAACCTATCGGAGCCAAATCCCCTGTGTATATCAGTTCCTATGTAACTACGGAGAAAGCTAAGTAGTCAGAACTGATTGGTGTCCCAACACCGAAAACGATCACACTGTCCTTTGAGTCCAGGACCCAAAGAAAGACCAAAGCTCAGGGCCATTGCCTGATCGTAAGCCACCACTACTGGTGAGTATCCTTTGGTCACAGGCTAGCGAGCTGATCTGAGCTCAACTTTCATCATCCTCTTCAGCCATCAGATTTCACGTGTTCTTATCTTAGTTGATGCCGCTGTAATCAATCGATTCAGTCCCTTATTGTGTGCCCGAAAGAAACTCGATGTAGCTGTTCGGTTGCCCTAGACCTAACATTCATGCAGTTTCCCTTTACTGACTGATCAGTTTGTTAAGCACGCGACTACCCTTACTTCTCTTGAGACTACAAAAAGCTTCGTTTTGTTGCTATTAACAACCTGTTACTAACAAACCACGACCAATGCCTGAATCTACCAGTTCTCCTCTCTAACTTTGTTGCTTAAATTACCGAGGGAATGATAGCGTTTCGAATTGCGATCTAACAAAAAAACAAGAAAATCTGTCGAGCCTTTGTGTTTGCTGGCCCTTAGTTGCTTAAACGCCCATTCTTCAAAAAATCTGGTGAAGACCAAACTTCTGCATCGTCTCGATAGGATCTGTGATTCTTTGCAGGAGAATTTATAGAAGGCAGCCTAACCGGACTGTCTTCAAATTTTTCGCAACCGAACGCCTTGCAACTAAGCATACGCAATGGTATCTTATCTGAGACCAGTTGGAAATCAGTCGCTTGTAGACATGAAAAGACTGGACCTTAACGGGGGTGTAACGGTTTGTGTACCTCCACGACCCATTGAGCTTTACTGAGGGAGTATCCGCGCGGCACTCTCAGTCTCATACCGGGACGGTCAGTGGTTAGAGGCCTGACGAACACAGTCTCCTGGGGGTTGGGACATGTGTGCGGACTTGTTTCATAAGAATTGTAATGCCCGCCAAACACCGCCTTGTGCTCAGGCTTTCAAGCCAAGGGCTTTGTATGAGGAACCTAATCGTCCTCCTGTCTAGGTGCGGGCGCCTTGACAGTATCCCAGCTCATTTACAACCATGATTCGCACACACAGATCAACTCAAATCGGCCGTCTTTTAGTGCCATCAACCGGGTTGCCTTAGTTGCCGCATACAACAAGGCCGGTAAGCAACAACAAGCTGCAGCTGACCCTTCCCTTCTTCTTTGACGTGCTTTTTTCTGCCTACTCCATTAATAAATCTCTCCTTGTAGGCTCAGCATTCGGGACTGATGACTCCATTCGTCCTCTTACGGCAGCCAAACATCAGTGTTCAACACTGACGTCATGCTATCGATGGTGCTGAATGTGTGTGTGGCGATCCGGTGGATAATGTTGATGTTTTCACATTACAGTTTCCCAGACAAACTTCTTTTGTTTCTTGCTGTTTTGTCTAGATGTTGAACCTATGCGCACCGAAGTGGTGGCCACGAACAATACTCCAGTGCGTCCAAGACGAACCCGTTCTGCTGCCTTACCAAAACGGGCAACACATAAGGAGGCTATTCATCAGCCTGTCCGACATTCGGACGCTGAACAGGAATACGATGACAATTTTCTACTGACGCAGTTGGGGTACCGGGTAGCGCCAAGCAAACCGATTTTCGACAGACCGAGACCGATGGAATTTTACGTGGATAATGATGGGGTGAGTGGTTGAATGCGACTGACACCATACTGCTGTGTTTCTGTGCCAAATCCAAATGGAGTCCATATCAAAGCCGGTGTGCTTCAACGTCCCTGTTAGGTTTGTTTCAGTCGTATACTCTCAATATGTCCAACTTGCAGCTACCGAGAAGAACGTTGTTCTCCGTACCCAGTTCGGAGTGGCGGAAACCTAGAGGTGGACGAATTGTTACATGAAAGGGGATGGAAGGATGTTACAAACTTTCTGGTTGTTGGTCGTTGGCTTGTTCGCTGAGCTGGGCAATTTGGTTGCAAACGTTTCATCACCGATCGAGGTGACATCATCAGTGCGTAGTTGTGCGTAGCGCTACGCATATAGGGTTTTATTTAAACAAATTGGCATTGTTCTACGGCATTCAAGCACTAGCGTTCTTCGCCGATGGTGTTGTCAGTTATTATTATTATCATCACTATTATTCACCTAGCCCTAAAGCTTGAGAAGTAGTTATCTATGGATTGAGGTGAGGTCTGTTCTGTCAATCCTGCTATGTCCACAGTTGGGCTATTTAAGTTTCTACGAATTATCTGTCGTCTGATTCCTAATATTGATTGTCCTCGCTTCGCTGGTCCCTTTTTATCTTTAGGACCCTACTCGAACAAAGTTACAGCCTGGAGGTAGCATGCCTACGTCGAACTCCACTGCTTCCCGACCGTCCGATCAGATGTTTGATCCAGTCGAATCCTGTCCATCTCTTACGGGTGTTCTCGCTCGACCACGTAACCTTCGGCTGGCCTCAAAGTGGGGCAGTGCCCAACTTCGTTCAACCCACGGAATGGCGGGCCCGGAACCAACGTTACCCTACGCTGGGACCGCAGATGCCGGACTCCTTCAACAGCAGATTGCCAACGCCGAGGAATGTGCCACAAAGCTTGCTGACCGTTTGACCGCCGCCTACAACCAACTTTCTGGCCTCCCTGTTCCCAACCTCCTTCGTCCCATATGCCACTGGCTCGGATTGCGTTGGCTGAGCCGTGGTAGCCAGGGTCAAGCGGGTCGATATTTTGCACAATCCGTCGGGATCGCGCCTACTAGTCTATTCACCTCCATTCTCAGCTCTCGCTTATCGTAAGTTCACGCAAAACCTTACTCACTTTGCAGATAATCTCTTTGGTTTCCAATCATTTTCTTTTCTCGTCGGTGAGTTTACTTTTAACTAGCTCATACCCACATTGTCAATGTCGTAGGTTAGTTTGTTCGCTTGGTCACTGGACCACACGCATCACGATCGAGTACACACTCACTTCCACCTTCAGCCTGCAATGATTTAAGTGGATCAAGAGCACTTTCTGTTCTTTGCAGATAACCTAAAAGTGACGGCGAAAAAAGTGACGAGAAGACTCTACAGCCGATACCTTTAAAAATTCAGAGACTTGCCTCTCAAAAAATATAGACTGAGTTTTTACCACTGACAAGAGAACGCCTTAGATGCAATCAAAGAATGTCCGTGGTTTTTTAAAACACCTAGAAAGCATTTAATCTCAAGATTTAGGTAACAAGAAAGGGTTATGAAAATTAATTTCAAAGAAGTTGATCGGAATTTCGGACCGAGAGATTACCCTCTAAATTCGGAATATTTTGTTATCTTCCAAGCAAGCCTCGCCAAATTTGGCCAACCAGACGACTCGTGCAAGAATCTTGGGTTTATCTTTTGTGTGGACAGTTACATTGCGTTCGGTTGCGAGTTATTCGATAGACTTTCTTACCATACTTTGAGTGACCACCTCCTGAGTTAGCAGTGTCTCGAATAGCAGCGGCTCATCGCGCAAATCGTGATTCATCAGTGACAGAACCCCTTAACTGAGTAAGGACCAGGTTGCCCTGTATCGCCTTTGACCGTAGTGAGTCGCTTCAGGACTCTTTTCAACGAGTCCCTCCTCCCTCGAAAGCTCATAGCAGCTTTCCCGGTCTAGCATGGTTTAGTGGGCAATCGCACCTCTCCATGCGGTCGCTTCTATTCAACGACATTACCGTAAGGGAGCGCATCTCAACGCCTATTCAGATCAGTCAGTTTGTTCGGCTATTGCAGCGCATGCCAACTGTGCAACCTAAAAGAAGCTCGAGGGCTGAATTAATCGCATTCTCAAATTCGGGTAGACTCGGCAGAACTTCAAACTGATGCTCAGACCTAAACCGTAGGCAATTTCATGCTCCTCAACGTGGATTCTTCATCGGAATCTCAACGTGAATGTCAAAGAGAATGGTTGACTTATATATTCTCCGGCAACCAAATGGTATCGTGAATCACACTCAACATCCGATTTTCGTGTACTTTTCCTCTTGAAAAATCTCTCGCATTGTGACTGTATCTAAATCGTCAGCTGCTTATCCCGTCTTATCACCTTTGCTAACCTTAGAGTACATTTTTCACCTCATCGCTCTTGAGAGTTTATCTCCTTTCCCTCTCTGAATTTTCGTCAAGTGAATCAAAAACTTCATGCCCCAGCAACGTGCCGTCTGCCCAAGTTAACGCGTGGTTTGAAGGTTACCGACGCATTGTTGAGTGTTGTGCTCCATACAACCCGTTGGCCAGCCAAGAGAAGTTAACCAATTCTACCTCTTCTGACCGACGTTTTATCACAGTGATACAACTTTGTCTTGTGGACGAAGTTGCTGTTGGTTTGCCGTCACCCAGCGTTGCTGATGACACTAGCCTGGATTGTGTAGCGCTGGGCCTGGGTGCAAAATCCAATGCACAACTTGTGGTTACCAAATACACAGGTGTATCTGGTCTTCCTTGTTCCGAACTTCACTCGGAATCTCGCGTCATGCACCGCTTCACAAACGGAGTAAGTTTTGTACGCTTGCGGAACACAACTAGTGTGAATGAATAGCCCATTTGATTATGTTCATGTGTTATTTCCGTATCTTTCATCTTGGACACAAGTTTGACGAGATGAATCGTCGGTTGTAGAGGGGGATCTCCGCCTTGGTGTACCTACATTATCCTGTATCAGTTGCCGACTATAACGTTCTCAGCACCGTTTTCGGTGTACGATCCACACTCTAGGTATTCTACGCATCCTAACTATGCTCCAAACGGCTACCATAACTTCCAACTTCCGGTTGGATTCTCTGTCGGTCTCGCTGTCCACTCATTTTTTAAAGTACGCTTTTCAAACTATCTAAAAAAGTTGGTCCCTGAAATCCCAGCTCCAATGTGGGCGGGTTTTCATCCATTCTACCCCAGATGACTCGATCACTGGTAATCAGTCGCACGTCTACTTCAAGTTGGCGTCCTTCGTACTGTATGTTTGAGCCTTCTAGTTATGCGAAGGACCTCGAGATAGGTCAGTCGTCACTGACCAGAAGGTTGCTCCTATCTAGGCTTGGGCAACCCGGCAGTATCTCATTGCTCGTGCTTCCTTTAAGTGGTATGACATCTAGATACCGAGAAACTTTTAGAGATGAACGATTATTATTATGCGAGGCGTTGAGGCCTCTCTTTTGATCATTTTCGACAGTGAGTGGAGCAGGCGGTCACTACATCATTGTAGGTACTGCTGATGAACACTGTTCAGCGAAACTCAGGGGGAAAGAGAGTTCTCAACTTGGAAGGCTGGGGTTTTCGCAACTAAGCAATGCAGACGGATTTACTGACTCGAACGAAAAAAACGTGACGTTGGATGGATTCTGGATCTGTTCCATGCTGATCGTCTATGCTTACCTGGGGCTCCAAGGGCCAACGCTTTCTCTTCGGTGTAAATCGCTTCTACCCATAGTGCTTTATGGTGTTCATAAAACCCTAGGGTTTTGTCGTTTGTCACTGCGTGACTAATGTCCTCTCACAAACATTTCTGCCTTCGTTTCTTACCTTTCAGGGCCTAAAGCTTCTCGATGCTTTTGATGAACTTCAAGTTGAAAGCCTCGATTCCATGCAAATTCAAGATCGCGTTCGCTACTGGCGTACACGATACAAACTCGATACACGTCTCGAAGTAAGTTGGTCATGTTTCCCTCACTCCATGCCTATACTGTTTCTAAAAAATACTCTTGATAGGTCGGTCTGTCCTTGTTTTCACACTTTCGCTTCTGATATCCCACTTCAGTCGGAACCTTTCACCAACTATTGGCTTGGAACTTATTCCATAATCATAAGTATATATATATATATATATATATATATATCCTGGGCGAGATGGCCCAAGTGGTTAGAGCGCGAGTTTACTGACCGGAAGGTCCGTGGTTCGAATCCGACCTCCGCCACTCGACTTCCCCTGTCTAGGCTTGGGCAACCTGGCAGTATCCCAGCCCTCGTGCTTCCTTCGGGTGGCATGGCAGCTAGGCACCGAGAGGGCGCTACAGCTGAACGATTTTTTATTATTATTTGAAGAACGGCTTGTTACGACTTAATTCTAACTGTCACTCGGCTCATTTTCGTGCTTTATTCGTTCAACATTTTTCGCGTTGCTGAATGTCATTTTATCGCTCTGAACTGCTCCTTTCACTGGTGAATTCTACGTGGGAGGCAGAACATTTGAGCAATATTGTGTTGCTTGCTATTCAACATACCCTGTTCTGAGGTTCCTAGACAGGGTACGCAATATTGCATGCACATCAGTTGGAGCTGTGCACCTTAACTTGGTTTCTTCTTAGCAGCTCAACCAATGGTGTTTTACAGGTAGAGCAACTCGAAGCCTGTGAATCTTGTGTCTCAAACACACTTTCAGACACCCGAAGAGAGATGCATCACAAACAGCATCGAAATTCCATCTGAAAAAATAAATTCCTCCTGATTTTGTATTGTTGCTATTAGGTCCCTATCAGAAGAGACCACTTGGTCGATTTCTTTAAGTAGCTTTTTCAGAGGGAGTGAGTTTGACGTTTGAGCTTCTTACCCAAAGAGCTGTAATTTGAATTCAACCCTGGGACTTTTATTGTATCCATGTAGGCGTGGGTAATCGGCGGTAGCTTGGCCTTTCCTCTAGGCTGCACGGCATTCACATGACAAAATCTTCACAGCCTAGTAACTCTTTTGTTGTGTGGACAACAATCCTGGTTCCTGTCCCGTGAAATGCTATACAGGAGAGATTTCGGAGACCTGCAAAATGTATAGAGGTAGTTCGTGAAGAAAAGAAAGCCTTTAATTCCATTGATATGGACTTGGAGCAACGCAGTGGGATAGTAAAATGGCACCCGGTGAAGTCATCATAATGAAAGGCGAATCGTGCCCACGACACAGTTACTTGGCCATAGCTTCTATACTCTTGTGTTGAATAACGCGTTACTCGCCTGTTTGTTTACCGTTAAATATGATGTGGGCAGCAGCGTGGCTGCCGAAAACTTGTAACTCAATACTCTTATGAGTTGAGCAGTAATGGTAGGCTACAACGATGACGGTAATGAAGGAATCGATGGGTGCAACTCAAGTGGTGTCAGTTCGTTCACCGAATTGTTCGACCAGCAGTATAAGAGCACCCTCTTGTACATATGCCCACAGGCTTTCACAAAACGTTTGATCGCGACGTCTGGCATTCCGTCTCATCACTCGGTATCTGACCTCCAAACCGACATCCTTAGAACCCTCACCATTAGTTCCAGTCTTTTTGGCCAGTAGGACAGGTTGCTGCCATACCGAAATTGGACATGGGAGGCAGCAGACCGACAAAGTCGGCGAGTGCATTGATGCTATTACGGTATGTGTGGATAATTGCAGCGAGTACTCATTTTAGTTAACGTGGACGTACGATATGGTAAGGGCTTGGAGACGTGCTACGTGCCTGACCTAACCAAAGACCATCCGAATTGGTTTCCTGAAGCCACTATCGAATACTTTTGTATATTGAATACTTTTGCCATTCGCCAAACACTCGGCGCCGGTACAAGTAAGTTCCTCAAGTGCTGGTAGTTGGCCTTTGAAAATGAACTTCCGACAGTCCGTTCCATTCTGCACACTGGCACGGAACTAGTCGATGTTTGTATGTTACTTGGCTTTGGTTATCCAAATCTGGCTTTCACATTCAACCTTAGTAAGGTCTACGCCTCAAGTATAGACTCATCACTAGGTTCCTGAAAGGGGTCACGACCACCTCATTCACCATTCCGATGTCGTCGCTTATCAGCGTTTTCCTAGAACGGAAAGTGCGAATATAAGGGGGCTAAACTGTATGTATCGGTATCACGTAAAACAAGACACTCGAACTTCGTAGCTGTGATATAGTGTTGAAGGACGGCGACTCGACCAAAGGCTACCACTTTGATGTGAAGATCAGGCTTTAGCGTTAAAATTAACTCAAAGGTTTTACCGATTAAGACATGACAGGAAAGCCCGAACGAATTAACTACATAAAGCTCCGTAAATTGTCTTCGCCAAATGACCAGCACTCTCGTGGTTTTGGAAGCATTTGCTCTGCCTTTCTTGAGGAAGAGCTGTTTAAAAAAGATCGGCCCTAAAGAGTTCACTCTCCGATCACCCTACGGTAGGCGTAGGATATTCTGACCGGAAGGTCCGTGGTTTGAACCCAATCCCAACCATCTCGATTGCTCCTGTCTAGGCTTGGGCAATCTGGTAGTATCTCCTTCCGATGGCATGGCAGCTAGGCCACAGAGGGTTGTTAAAGCCGATTGATGTTTTGCTTATTAGACCATGATAGCCGCTGCGTTATCTGATACGGCCGAAGAGCCTGCTGCGCGTGAAGACATCGAAGATCAGGCATTCTTGCCTTACTCTCTGTGCCGTTGATTTGGGCCCATGCACTAGAGTTTTCTATGTGGACTTCTTATACCTCATGGGCCAAGTGTTGCAGGTGTTACTATTCGGAGTGACCTGTATTTACGGACAGTTTTTAAACGGGACAAGTTCTAGAAAGGATTCTGTGTTGTTTGCAGATAAAAGTATCTTATACTAATATGTTCTAATAGCTTATATAACCGAATCGTTGTGCGAGACCGTTCGGTATGAGTTCGGCGCCCGGTCGTGTCGTTAGCTGATCCTCACAGGAGTGAGTGGCGTTGAAAATCCGTGTTACTGATGTTAATGACCATCAGCCACTTTGTAAGGCTGGATGAGTAGGGGGCCATTCAGAACTTGCAGCAGATTTCAAGACTAGGCTGTCAGCCAATCACTTTCCGAATCGTGTTCAAAGTCTGCTGACCAATGGTCCAAGCATTTTACACTGTACGATTAAGCGTCAACGATAGCTAAAGCATTCATTCAACAAGCTTCATTTGTTGTCGGCGGCGGTGGCGCTTCTAGGGATTAATTTTCTGAAACCCCCTTTTATCATCCAAACATAAGTCCTCATTTTTCTCCTCCTTCAGGCTACCCACTTGCCTTGATTGTTGCGGATTTCCGAAGCTGCGCTTATCGTTTCTTGCATATCGGATCTACGGTTATCTTGCTTTTCCTAACTGCATACACGTATTCCCGCTGGCACCTCTCACCCTCCGATTCGACTCGGCTGCAAAATCAAGCAGTCGAATAGTAAGCCCTTTGAAACCTCTTCCTGCTCGTACTTCACCATACAGCTCGCCACCTCACCAGTATTAAGGCCATTATAGTGGAATTTCGGCGAATTCTCCTTTTAAGCCCTTCTGTAGCCGTCTTTATAGTGGTAAATCTGTGTGATTGAGTGGGAGTTCCTTGCCGAAAGGTGCCCACTTGACAGTGTTTCCACTCACTGAGAGTTGGATTCCGGCTGAGTGTTGTTTGTGCATTGAAGTTAGGATTTTTGAGTATTATTTCATCGCTTCATCCAGTGCACGTAATGGAGCTGAACTACATTCATTAGCTCAGTTGTAAACAAAATGTCTTTGTCAGGTCCACTTGGGTTCAACGGTCGCGCTACCCAAAACGTATCGCCGCGTTGTTTGTAGAACCAGTGTGGAAACATCTATACCCTCCGGTATTGTTGTATGGGGGGATCTTTTACACCACAGTAAAAAAAGAGGGGAAGGTTTGCAGAAATAGCACTTTCCGTGTTAACTGGACATGAGTTTACGGACAGTTATGAACCAAGACTGTTTCTTCAGGTATAATGTCGGACTACGCAGTGTAGAATGACCCACACAACCCTTGCATGCATGTATTATCATCGCACTGAATTTACGGGGTTAGGCGACCAATGTAAGCAACGGTGAAATTATCTGACTCGCAAGTAAATAAACACGCGTCCGCAGCGCACGGTCTGTCGCATCAATACAGTACTGTGTTGGCACTGACGTCAACAAGTGACACGCACTCGCATTCAAATCACAAGAGTGAAGTAGTAGTCAGTGAAGCCAAGCGGACGAAGGACACATCGACCAGTGCACCTTTCTGTCTGCCTAGGGTCGGGCAACCTGGCCCTTTCTCAGCTCTCGTACTTCTTTCGGATGTCATGAAAGCTATGCACTGGAAGGATGTTACCGTTGAGCGATCGTTATTAATATTATTCTCTGTCTGCCAACTTATTCTTGATACTTTCAAAAATGCTAACCCACCAATTATTGATTTTGAAGATGAACTGATGAGGGACCTCAGTGGGCCCAAATAGTCCAACATGGTGAGGACAGGGAAATCCGTGTTTCAAAAAAAAAAACGGACGCCATTGCGGAATCATGTGTACGTTCTTGTGTTCAAGGAAGAATGCGCATGGAAGATGCTATCACTGTGACGGAGAGTCTAGCGGGTTATGCTATACCATGGGACATTCGGACATTTGGATTGTTCATAGGGCCGTTTCCAAGGTTGCCTGTTCTGATGGCATTCCGAAAGTCTTGAATGAACTGTTAAAACTTTAGCTGCTCCCACTCACTCTGACCAATTCTCTTGAAAGCTTGCTAACTTCCTGTTTCCTGTATTATTCTCCGAAGAATATGCTATCGGAAATTCGCAGAGAATTGTTCACCCCCGATGACCTACGTTGGCTTCTGGGACAGCCTGTAGACAGTGGTCCTGTTGAGACTGTGCGACATGAATCAAGTTCCATAGTTCTAGTCCTCGACAGGGTGAGTTTGCGACGTCTGAGTTTCTTAATTCGCGTTTCTTCTGCCTTCAGTTTTCTCTACCTTCTGATCAGATCATTAGCTGTAAATTACAGGAACTTTATCCGTAATAGCTTCAAACAAGTCGTTTCTCGATGATGAGGCCTGCTGCGGAATCCCAGGCGCTCTGTTTGTGTTTCTACGTCGTTGCGACCTCGAGGCACTCGATCTGTGTCATTATTTTCTTCCAACGCCCCGCGCGCCTTTTAGGGACTTATTCCGGCCGATCAATAACAACCGATTCGGCGAAGCACTGGGCCTCAAAAGAATGAGTGCCCGGGTTGATCACAAGATTGATAGGTTCAAAAGGCCCCAGGACTGCAACATAATTGTTCCGCTTAACATGCGTCCAAAATACCTCCATCAGTGAATCTATCAATCAATCAATCACAAAAACGGATGTGTGGGTCGTTGGGTCGGGCATTCTGAATAATCTGTTAGAACAGTGTGGTGTTTACACCGCAGCGCAAAAAAACGGAACTCATCAGATGCTGGTAGCGGACTAAGGTTGAGTTTTCCGGCCTAACCTGAGTGAATGTACATTCAACCCCCGGGGTTACATTCATAGAACGTGGGATCGGTTGCGCTTATTTAATTGGCTCACTCGATGTGATGCCCTAACCCGTTATTGGGATGGAATAGACAAACGACATTGTTCTAATTTACTGAAATGTGTTTTCCAAAGGCTGAACGTGTTTCCTATCTTTATACCGACATGTTGCAGTCATTCTCCAAGCCAGCTTTTGAAAACGCATTTTGAGATTCGAGAAGGGATCCCCATAACCTTCCTCGTGCTTTGGCCGCCGTATATACCTCCGAACTTTTTTAGTGCTGTTCTCGCTGTGAGTTCCCAAGGGGACTGCCCCACAGGGTTTTCGGAGACGTAGACACCTCAAGTGTTTATGATGGGTTATCACGGGATCACCTCCAACTTTTTTCCAGTTTGCCTTTCTTTTCGATAAAGAGTTCTGTGTAAATAAACTGGGTTAGTTTTACGGTTTTGAAGCACTAGGAGACGCGAATTTCCAGTCCTACTTTAGCGGGTTAATTTGGTAAAGAAAACTACCTTTGTACTTAGAATCTGAAGTTTCAGAGCTAGATTATGGAGATCTGTTCAGGCCTGCTATATTCTCCATAAAAGGCATCTTTAGACTGCGTGCATGTGAATCCCGCTGTTCACCTCAAGGATGGTCTGCTTTGACGAAAATAAGGATGAGCTTCCTTCCCAACGAGGCACAGTTTCACACGTCATCTCGAGCATTCGTACAACACTTTTCCGGATACTTCCTGATGGTTCGAACGTTTTGTATTTTTAGCGTCTGATCTATCTTCCCTGGGAGTGGATATTTTGGGGAACGGAAGTGGAAGTCAATCAACCGTCGCAACACCAACAACTTGTGCCCAACATCACGCGTAGTTTCAGTCTACCTCTGGTCATAGCACATTTGGCCACTCAACAGGAACCAAATACGTTCACGTTCGATCCGCGACAAACCTATTACGTACTCAATCCGGAAGCCAACCTATCCTTCACGCAACAAATGTTCCAACCGCTGTTCGAACGGTTCCTAACTTGGCGTGGTGTTGTTGGCCGGGAACCGACTGCGGCCGAAGTTAACATTGGTTTTACAGACAATGAATTGTTCATGTGAGTTTCTAGCATTTTCTAATTTCTGTTGACCTCGATTGGTCGTATCCGTGCCCATACTTGTTTAATTTGCCCTTGGCCGCTCTCCATCTTCCTCCAGTTACTTGGGCCATGGGAACGGTTCTCGATTCTTGTTGCATACCTTCAACCAGGGCCTGAATGCTCGTGCTGCCGCTCTGGTATTGGGTTGCAGTTCCGGGAAGCCGCGTTGGGAAGGTCGACATGAACCCTACTCGTCCCTGTTCAATCATTTACTGGCTGGGTGGTAAGTTTTCCATGAAATAAGTGTCAACCAATCGATAAAAGCCATCCTCACAAAAGTCGAGCCCCTGTAAGGAACCAATTTTTTAATTTCTAATATTTTACCCCATAGTCTCCATTAGTATCCACTGATAACCAGTGCCCCCAATTAATGAATGCTCATGGACCCATTTCTAACTCTCCCTCGTTTATGGAGAATTTTCTGGCCTTGTGGACCGCACGCTCAGTCCCTGTAGTTGGAATGAGAGAAGGGATACAAACCATCTATTCCGGTATGGTTTTTATACGTTCGAGAAAGATATTGAAACTAATAGGTAAAGAGACAATGACACTATCCTTGCTTAAGTCGGTCAAATACAAGTTTTCATTCTTAGGTATCTGATCCCAGTGAGCTCGACATAGTTCAGTGGCGAGGGCGCGGACTTACTGACCGGAAGGTCCGTGGTTCGAATTCAGTCCAGGCATCTCGACTGCTCCTATCTGGGCTTGGCGGTTGATCACCTCTCATGCCTCCTTCGGGAAGCACGGCAGCTAGGCCCTGAAAGTGTGTTATAACCGAACGACTGCTCTATCTGATCCCAGTGATGGATCTCGGTGATTTGGACGAAGTTTGTGCTTTTGGGGAAACCCATTTGGTTGTTCTTAAAAGGCATTCGTTCTTAGTCGTCTCGAGAGAACCAGCTTGGAGCCATGATCTTTGAACAAGCTGATTAAGCGCTACATACAGGCCATCCGGACGGCATGGAATTATTTTACCTTCCCAACAAGACCCTTGATAGTCCCTCTCCAATCAGAAAGCGGGTTCATCCGATTGATCGTGTATTCGTTGCGCTACTTCAACTGAGGTCTGTTGTCTTTCAGAAATCGCAGAACTTTGACGTCATAATTATGCGAATGTTTTCAGTCACAAAAAATAGAGGTATCTACATTCCTTCGCTGGGAGGTTTTTAATCACTCGACCGGAACGGTTCTAACGGCATCCATCACCTTTCGAGCATATTATTCGCTACAAGTTTACTCAACTTAATCTGTCTCGAAAACTGTAGTGTGTCCTTTGTGATGGTCGGCTCAGTCATCAGGCGCCAAATCCCATTTTTACGGGTCTCAGGGTGTTTGAGAAATTCAGTAAAAATAGGGTGTCTCAGATGCTTCACTTTAAAACCTTCGAGTGAAAAGGAGGGAGCTGGTGCTGGCCTATCTCAGGCATTTCGAATTGCTCACACTTCCAAGCGCTCAATCAGACGATATGGAAAGAAACAAAGATTGATCAGCCGCCATTTCTTGCAGTGTCTCCAGCTAAGCATATGAGGGGTCACGAGGACCCTATCCTGGTGGGCAAACCGCACCAGGAACACGTAAGCTCCTTTTCACAACTTTCTATCAAGTTTTCGGTCCTTCACTTTGCACCATTCTGAACACCATTCTAAGAACAACACCCCGTTTCGGTAGATGGTGTTTTGGCATTCGTAGCACATAGCCGACCTACCGTAGTTGATGGGTGTTTTCCGCATTTGAAGTACCTGCTACACTACCTTATGTCCGCTTTTAAATTGCCTCGTTACAAGTCCGTTGACGTCATTCGACACCAACTTTTCTGATGTATCAATGGTCGAAAACTTGAAGACACTGTATATCATCTGTCCGCAGAGGCATGTTTCGTAACCACTCAATACAGCCCTTACCGTAACCTAGTACACGCAACCCTTGAGACCCAGTGATATGTCTCTTGGATACTACAAGTGACACAAATCAGCAAACTTGATTCTGGCGTTTGAGCCTCGTGCACTGAATTCATCAGATACACTTCCACCAAAACCAATGCAACTACGGAGGTATGTAAAACTACTCAACCTCCAGCGGTTCTCCGCGAATTGTAAGGGATATGTTTAAAGGCCGCATGTTATGAAGCATGGCTTTGCACTTGAAAGGTGCAAAGTGCATGCCAAAAGTGTTCAGCTTGTTCAACAGTGCTTCGCCTTTGACTCAATACACCCTTACCGTAACCTAGTACACGCAACCCTTGAGACCCAGTGATATGTCTCTTGGATACTACAAGTGACACAAATCAGCAAACTTGATTCTGGCGTTTGAGCCTCGTGCACTGAATTCATCAGATACACTTCCACCAAAACCAATGCAACTACGGAGGTATGTAAAACTACTCAACCTCCAGCGGTTCTCCGCGAATTGTAAGGGATATGTTTAAAGGCCGCATGTTATGAAGCATGGCTTTGCACTTGAAAGGTGCAAAGTGCATGCCAAAAGTGTTCAGCTTGTTCAACAGTGCTTCGCCTTTGTGTTCAAAGATGAGGATAATAGCGATAAGAGTCTCACCGGTGATGACTTAGACACCGGGATCTTTGAACAACTTTCAGCGTTCGCTTCATTATTTCTTCGGTGATGAAGTTGAACAAGAAGGAGAGAGTGGACATCCTTTTTGGACTCCAGACTCTTTTGGTGAGCTCACCAAATACACAATGCTCCGTGGACGGAATATCTGTGTAGTGTAGTTTATGTGAAGTCAGCAGTTCCGTTCATCAGCAGACTGTCTCTCCCCTAAATTTCTGTCTTCGACAACTGGTCCAGTTTTTTGCGTACAAACGATTAGGTTTATTACTATTGCACAGATCGCACGTTACGCTCTCTAGTGAACATTTTTTCATCGTTACTTCGGTCTCAAAGTTGAGTCGCTCAAGCTGTCCAACTTATCTAATTACCCAAACTGCCAAGATGGAAATCGGAAATCCCGTCATATGAACGTATCATCATACCATACTCGTTTTCCTGTCGTTTTTTTGTTGACAAATCCGTTCAGTTCCGTTAAGTGGCTACTTCTCTGTTCCGTCTTCTCGTTCCTTCCCCACCCAAAGTCCATTTGTTGCAGGTTTACTGTGGGATGTCACAGATCGGGATATGGATCGATTCACCTTACAATTCTTCAAACAGTGGCTCTTTACCGACAATGGCAGTGAAGCGGGTGAGGACATCATCAGCAATAGTTTGACAGCCAACCACAAGAAACCGCCTATGAGCACATGTTTGGTTCAGGCCACATCGGCTTGCAAGTTAAAACATCTGGTTGGAAAATCTGTAATCATCTATGGGATCCCTGCAGAACCGTTGTTAAGGCTTCCTTTGAAGTGTGTTGACGCATCGAACTGAGGACTGTCTATCAGTGTACTGTGCTAAACGTGCAGTTTAGAGCTTTCTTCTCAAATGCACTTCAACGTGCTTCTCTTACCCTCCCTTTGGGTTTTTTTTTGGTAAAGTGTATGCAGTTTCTATGATCTATTTTGCATAAGAAAAATAGTTGGGATAATTTTCTATGTACTCGGCCGTTGTTTGCGATACACTATTTTGTCAGTCACCACGCAGTTTTTACATGATCTTCGGATTTTCATCACAGCCTGGTATACAATCTAACCGGTTCGATGGGTTTTCTGATGAGGGGATCCTGTCTCTTACTCTTCTGTGGCTTTCTTCCAGCAAAGGGTGATTCGTCCGATTTGATGCCTTGGGTTGCAATTGCCCACGTTCCACGATTGGTAGGACCATTTATGCAGATTACAACCCTGTGTACGTCGCGATATGCGCTCTTGTACATAGCAATCATGTTCGTGTCTTTTATTGTTCCATATTTTTGAAACCACATATGCTCGTTCTCCAGAGGACCTGTTGTAAATACGATATTTTCAATCCTAAGATACTTTTCAGCCTCTTGCGTTGAAGACTAATGTGTCTACGTCTTGGGAGAGCGGACTAATCTGGACGTAATACACTACTCATAAGGTTGCTGAAAATTTCGTGACAGCCCACGGCTGGTTTCGCCCTTCTTCGGGCTCCTCAAGTAGGCGCAGTCCCCGAGTTTCCGTCTACCTTATGTTCAGTTGAAAAAAAATTTCAGCTGGATTCAGTTGGGTGCCCTGTTAAAACCGAATTGGAGGTCAAATTTCTTCTCCGCTTACGCGATAGCATCTATTGTTCCTTAATTCAAGGACTGGTTGAGTATCGGCCAGCTTTATCGCCTTACAGATACCTCAGTGAACGAATGTTTTAAGCTCGAGAAGACGCTATCTAGCTTAGACACCAAGGCGGCAAGGTCTCAAAAGTCAAAGCGAACATCACACATTGGTTCTAATCCATTAAACGCACACACGAAAATGTCTTAGTGGTTTTCCATAAAGGAAACTACTCACAAGGTTGTTGAAAACTCTTCGACAGCTCACGACCAGTTTCGTTCTTCTTGGGGCTCATCAGATAGGCACAGTCCCCGAGTTTCCGTCAACTTTATGTGCTACTTGAACCTAAATTGGACTGTTTTCGAGAAATACACTCATTTCCAAATCAATTTCGTTTTCACGAGAGATTCAGCTGAGTCTCTGTCTTAGTGGTTCTTGGATGATGATCGGTCATGACAACAAGCCTCAGTTTGGCGACCTGACAAAACCGGCCTTAAGCAAAGTAGATCGGTTTGAAGCAATCTATCTTCATAGTTTGTCAGTCAGAATGCACTGAACTAGAGCACTGTCAACCTGAATCTACTCAGAATAAGTAGGAGTACGAATCCGCCACTTACCAATGTATTGTCCATTACGAAAGGGTTTTTGGACTTTGTAGGTCTTTGTTTGATGTCTGCTGTGTGGTTCAGCGCGGTGGTCCTCGTGAGGATCGCATCCAGAGACCATTTGAGAATTCAGACATGTCCGTAGGTTTAGCGTTCGCTACATATATTTGTAACAAACCTCTCTATCTGGTCAGTTGAGTGAAAATACCATTCGTGAATTTCTTAGGAAACCTAACGGTCGTGAAGTACATAGTTAAATGTTTACTACTAGCGTGCCACCATTCGGTTGTGAATAATCAAAGACAAGACGAACCTCGAGGTGTGCCTAATCTGACACGAATTCAGTTGATCTTAATACCGTTTCGCACCTTTTCAGCATTCGAGGATTCTATGATAGTCAAGTACTATTTGTCCACATATTGAGCGCCTACTTGTGAGTATTTGAAAATTGGAATGGGGGGACAGTAATGAAATTAAGCAAAGTCAGTAGTGACCTTAATAGCATTTCGCACAAATCGTGGGCATTACCTCAGGAACCGTGGATAAGGCTCTCAGATGAGCAAGTGCCATGTCCTGTTCTTGATTCTCGCTGTTTCAACTTAGAACTTAAATTGTTTACAGTTCATGGCTGTTTGTAAACCTCCAGTTTGATGAAACGTCGAAACTTCATCCAACAGTGTATGTAATGCCAATGAATTATAGAAGATTAGTGGCGCTGTGTTGGAAATTTGCATTTAAGCTGTCACCCAGAGAATGCTTACCTCGATTTGGTGTTAAAACGATGTCATTTCTGGTCAGGGTGAGGTGAATTTGCTTCAAAAACAAGACAGTCGATGAATCGGTTACCTGTAGGACAAACCAAAGTGCATGGGTGAAGTAGACGGTCTTTTCTTGCAACAAAATACTCGAAGTTCCGGTGCGCTTGCTCAACCGCGATGTGAAACTTTTGGGCTCCAGTTATACTGAAACTAACCGGAAATATACTGGAACCTTGGAGAAGTTTTCTCGTTCCTCTCATGCGTGATTATGATCATTCGAATACACTCATCAGAAGCAGGTCTTCTGAAGTCGGCTTCTATTCCAGTACGCTCTTGAAGGTAGAAAACAAGCGTGAAGTGAAATACGCTACCTTATACTGAAAGAATTGGCTTCTTCTAAAGTAAATCGCTTTCTGTGGAATCCTTTGTATGCCCTCTTCCCGTGGAATCAAACGGTTTGGTGTTATGGGTGACGAACCTCACCCATCATCATTACTGAAAAGACACCACCGTATTCGCACATGTAACAGATAGTGGGTGGAGCTTTTCATATCATTTATGGGATGCTGGAAAATCTAGTACAATATTTGCTATTCCTCGTATTTGCGCCGCCACACAGTCCTCCCTCATAACTTCATCATTGCGGTACGTGGGACTCCGTTGTACATACCGTATTTTACTAATATGTTACTCAGATAATCAGTCGCATAAAACAGCTTGTTTGCCACGCTACGTCTTCTGATGTGAATTTGTTTGAAATATGGCCTTTACTTTCGGCGAAAATACTCAGGGGAGATCGCCGCTTACTCCTTCTCGACAAGCGTGAAACCTCTTAGACCTAATTCAAAACTGTCGATAGTGTAGGATTCCGGTTAAACGTTTATCAACAACTAGCTTGCGGAAACGGCAAATTTTCGGTTGTAAACGAAAACACTGTAGATAGATATCATGTGTTTAAAACGTGAGTTGGACTCAAGCTGAGCCATTTTTTCATCGTGAACTGGCTGACTTACTCGTACTGAATAAGAGACAAACAAATAGACTCTGCAGGATGTAGTCTTTCAGCGTACACGTACGGTAGTAAGTCGTTGACTACATGAGCCAGGTGACAGCTCACGCTTCACAGTTGGTTGAATAGTTCAGTATATCAAGCTCTGAACCATGTACCGAGACTCCCAGAAGACACAGTTTTGGCCTTCGGAAAACAGGAACTCGAAACATACTGCGAAACAATGCAGGTGATGTATTCATGAGTTAAATCGAATTAAATATTGCTCTGAAGTGGGTAGCTACGCATTGAAGTTAATAGCTTTGATGTACGGGTGCTAGTCACTGCGTGATTGAGCCAAGTGTGCTCGGGTGCATGCCATGCGCAAGGCGTCGGAAGAACGTTCCAATCGGATACGTTGCTGAGTAGCCGGTCGTGATGATTAAGCCAAAACAGTCGTATCTGCAGCTTCCTGTTTACTTAAGGAACTACCATTTCGGCACAAATTCACATCTATGGTTGGTGACGTCAGACAACCACTTCCAATCGCCATTTCACGTGGCCGCACTGAGTCCGAATCGGATAAATAACATGAAATAAATCCACCAGCTGGACAAGGCAATAAAAATGAGCGTCGGCTTATCTCTGTGATGAAGCTAATCGTCAGATAAGGATTGTTAGTGGCGTAAAACTGATCTACTCTGAAATAACACCTCATTCAAGAAATACACTCATTTGCAAATCACTTTGGTTTTCACGAGAGACTAATGAGTCTCTCGTTTATGATATTCTACAACTGAATGTGCTGCACACAGGCCGCCTCATGTTTCAGTTCGCACGATATTCGAGATATCGCAGTATATTTTCATAAAGGAAACTACTCACAAGGTCGCTGAAAACTCTTCCACAGCCCACGACTGGTTTCGCTCTTCTTGGGGCTCATCAGATAGGCGCAGTCCCCGAGTTCCCGTCAACCTTATGTTCTACTTGGATGTAAATTGGACTGTTTTCGAGAAATACCCTCATTTGCAAACTTGGTCACTGTGCCTACCTAATGAGCTTCAAGAAGGGCGAAACCGGTCGTGGGCTGTCGAAGAGTTTTCAGCTAGCTTGTGAGTAGTTTCCTTCATGGAAACACCCCATTCAGTTCTACCAGACCCGGTTCAAATCACACGTTGCAGAAGACATGACCGAAGTAGTGGGTGTGGTTGCTCAACCGGATTACCTGACTTATCCGATTTTTAGTCGATCACACAGACCTCCACATCCTCCTGTACTGAGCAACAATGTGGTGATAATCGAAATCGTTTTTCCCTGCAACAAATTCGGACGTTCCCCTTTAGGCTGTCAGCTCAATCACTACACCAGTGCACATTATCAGGTCATGTCGAATGAACCTCGTCATCGAGTAAGCATAATATCGGTCATCTGTCCACCAACAATCAGTGGATTTTCTCAATAAACTGGTCGTATAAAAATCCATTTACCGAATATCTGATACGATCCTTGATGGTGGCATCGATCGCATAAACAACCTACATGACTTAGGTCCTGTATATCCGCATGCTCACTTCATCATTCTTTGGGGACAGCTGCATTATACCCAAGGTTGTTTGCTATCTTGGGGAAAAGGACCGCTCAATCTCGACCTTCTACTCCATCTTCTTTCTGTTTCACATACGTGAATTGATCGTGCGATCCTATCTCTATAGAAAAGAGGATTCCAGTGTATTGGAAGTAGAGCTCAATTATTTGTGTAGAGTGTTCTGATTCAACATCAAAACCCCCGATTCTTTTCCTTTATGATTTATTTGTGATACCACTGTGCACTGTATGGTGGTGGATCTCCATAGTAGCGTGCCCTCAGGTATTCAGGGATCAGCTGTTGGTCGAGAAGCGGTGGTAAGTCAAAACTCCTTTCCTCCGGCATGTAGACCCTTCGACCAGTGGCTCCATCCAACGGTCGTCTGACTAGAGGTGGTGGTGGTGGATCGTAGATAAACGGTGGAAAATCATCGCTATCGTGTCTGTAAAGAAAGTCTATGGGACGAGGTAGTTCCGATTCGTTGGGCACTTTTTGCGGTTCGGTGCTCTCGGGTAGTCTGCGTGGTCTGTGAGCCGGATTCCTCCTGTTTTGGAATGCCCGGTCCTTCTCCTGAACGTGTTTATTCGATTCTGTGGATTCTCCCTGTTTGGGTAAAAGTTTAACAATGAAGGTGAAGGATGTTTTCAAGTCTTTTTGTTGCGTTGTCTATCAGTGTCTACTTCGTTTGCTCATGGCTACGTATGGATGCATTAAATAATTAGTTGTGCGTTATTAAAACATTGGATTTAACACTGCCTATCCATGTTGGCTGAGCCGTGACTTCAAGCCACCGTGAGGTGATGCTTGAAGCAATTGTAAATGACTCGAGATAGCCCACTGTTTAAGGCGCGAAATCACTAAGTGGAAGGTGCATAGTTCTCGACGGCTCCTGTGTAGGATTGGGCAACCTAGCAGTATCTCAGCCCTCATGCTTCCTTTGGGTGGTGTGGCAACCAGGCACCGAAAAATTGTTACAACTGGACGATTATTATTACTGTTATTATCATTATCCGTTTGGTTCCCTGAGGCACCAACTGTGTACTTTGGGCAATTTACATTTAAGAGGTGGACTGATCGTCCACCGTGTTGAAGAGTGTGACCGTTTGCGGACCAATCTGGTTCTCAGAAGTGATTTCTTCGATTTTGATGACCTGGATGGGTCGTCTTCGTCGTAAATATGAAATTACATCAGTGAACGCGCCCCTAGGATCCCAGTGAGACTGGATTCATCTACCACAAATTTGGTCTTTTCAGATATCCCAGCAATACGGTTCGAGAATGCACCTCAGTATTTATGGTTTGCCCAAGAACAAATTATCCACCCAGCTTTGTTCGCTTATCCAGCATCCACTTGCTCCGGATGTCGCTACGCAGTTGTGCCAGGGACATGAATACACACCAATGAACTAGTTACGTTAGTCTGAAACCTCCAAGGGAGTAGCGCGATAACGACACAGCTGGACCATTAGCTACTTTCCGATGACAAAATTTTGACATCGTAGACAACACCTGCACATCGGTCTCCTGCCCTCAGGTATCTGAGGATGAACTCCAATCTGCCGCATCGCAGTCACCTTCCGAAAGCGTTGTTCCGTATACTGCTTCGGTTCTTACTGTCACACTTGTGTGGGTGCGGCCCATACATGTAGGCCCAAATACCTCATCGTTCTGCGGCCAAGTTTTCACTCATTCACTCCATATGTAAAGGTTGTTGGCGTTTTCAACGTTCCAGTGTTTCCTAAATGATGAGGGGACATTGGTGGGTGAACAATGGACGTATGTTCGAACATTTTTAGTGACAAACACACGCCAAAAGGACACCGGAAACTAATCAGACTGGCTTTGAGGACAACTTTCACAGTCTCGAGCAGATAGGTTGTATTAGAAGCCTACTCTCACTGACCGGTTGGACAAGTTGAAGCTCCAACTTTCATGGCAATATTATCACTGATTTCGGACCTTGATCCGTGATTTTTTTCCTGCTCGGAGTATCCGTAAGCTAAATTATTCATTCTTTCAAATAAATCTCTACAGAACAAAAATTCCCCTATCTTTTCACTCACCAAGTCCGGGTTATGCTCTCGGTCCGAACCTCTCAAAACCCAGTCTCTGATTGGTGTTGAGGGTACAAGGTCATCACGAACTAAAAAGTCGTTTTGACTCTCAGAACTCTATACGAAAAGAAGCAAGGAATATAGCCCGTCAAAACCCAATTTGTATACAGATTACTGTATAAGTCGAATCCTTATAAATAAGTAGTGAATCTTCTCAAATCTCTACGAACAAAAATTCCCCTATCTTTTCACTCACCAAGTCCGGGTTATGCTCTCGGTCCGAACCTCTCAAAACCCAGTCTCTGATTGGTGTTGAGGGTACAAGGTCATCACGAACTAAAAAGTCGTTTTGACTCTCAGAACTCTATACGAAAAGAAGCAAGGAATATAGCCCGTCAAAACCCAATTTGTATACAGATTACTGTATAAGTCGAATCCTTATAAATAAGTAGTGAATCTTCTCCAATGAAAACTGAACATCTTAAGGTATAACCTAGGACGCATGAATTCTGTCTCAATGATAGGCGTATGGCCTTCAGAGGTACATACAAAGTAACAGATAATTGACCCAAGCCATCTCCTAAGTCATTCACGAGGAGGAATTAAATCAGACCGCATGATGCTCATTTGACCTACCGCAAAGTTACTGTCAACAATGTAGTTTTTCGTCACACTCGTTCCCTCTCTGGGGAGACCATCCTTTGGCGACTGTCGGATGGGGTTCCATCTTGGGAGGGTCATCTATACCTTAGGGGGGGGCAAATAGAATTGACACCTATCCTGAGTGCTCTCTCGTCGGATCAGACGGCTGATGTAATTACAATGGAACGTCTGAATCCATCAAAGCCACCCAAACAAAGTGGAACACCACTTTACAAGCAAAATGGAGGACTTGAAATGGGAATAAGGGTTACTTAAGGAAAAGAAACTATTCCCCATTACTTCCAGTTGGTCTTCTGGCAGCTACATGTAAAAAGATGACGATGCAGCAGAGAAATACAATATCAACTGTTGTGTAATTTTATCTATCAATAAAAACAAAACAGATTTTGATTCCTACTGTATTTTGCCGTATGTATTTCAAGTATGTTGCGGCTGGATCGATTGAATTTTCTCCCAAAATCCACGAGATTTCATGACCAATCATCTTATGGAACATTCTCTGCTAAATTATGCACGAGTTTTTTGTGCCTCACTGAGTGTACGGCTAGCAACTCGGTTTCGAAAAGGCGGTATGCGTCCCGTGTGGCTAATTACTCTGCGCTGTTTTCTGGCAGCCGGTCAGTCTACATCGCGAACCATCGGTTCATCGTGTTAAACGATTTTTGTATCGTTTGTTGAGTGGTCCTTCCCACCCAGTCCGCTGGGTAAAAGAGCCATAACATATGAATGGGCTTAACTATGGGAGAAATATTCGAACTGCCACTGCCCTTAATAATGAGACACGAAAAACACTGAGAATTATGAAGCCTTTTGTTCATTTTGGGACATGTATTAGTTCCAATTGTGATGTGACTTGAGGTAAAAGTATAAATCTGTAATACTGCAATCGTGTTTGCTAATTTGAGACATATCCCTAAATCTTAAGGAACGTGTGTATCAGGTCACAGTAGGGCTGTTTTGTACGGTTGTGACGGCTGTGTGCAACCTTACGAGTAGTGCACTGCGCCCAGATAACAGTTATCTTCATCTGTTCGCATCAAAAGGCGACTTCTGCGGTGCCATCCTACTCCACATGATTAAACTGGACTGTTTAGTTAACACCATTGTGAAGTATCTGACATTGCAATGAGTATTGAGTATCTTCCGCCAATAAGCTTCACGAGCCCATTTAAAATTTTTTTCGTGATCGAGAGCGCTAATTCCGGCCCAGAAAGGCATGAGGCATTCGTTGTTGAACAAGCCAACATTGCCATAAAAAACAAGAAGTACAACATATCCTTGAATATCACTGCCACCCTCTCCAGTATAAAACCTTCAAGAAGAACTTGCAGATCTTGGTGCGCTTCATATAAATCTTTGGTTACAGCACTTCAGTATCGGTTTTCTCAAGAAAGTTTCATTTCCTTAAACAATCATTAGACTGACTTCTGTGAGAACGTTTTATTCATGAAACATTAAGTGATGCTGAGATTCAGATGGTTAATGTGCGAATGTACTGACTCAAAAGTCTGTAGTTCGAACCCAACCCTGGCATCGCGACTACTCTTCAGGATCAAGCAAGTTGCCAGCATCTCACCCCTCGTGCTTCCATCGGGTGGCAGTGCAGCCGTTCATCAAGAGGCTGCTACAGCTGAATGATTATTTCATAACCATTATTGATACAAACTTGCCTTATAGCCTTTTAGTGTTATTGTGTTAGCTCGGCCTTTTTAACATATGTGCCAACGACTGGGAACAGTGTCTTTCCGGCATATCGGTACCCTCAATTCCGCAATGATACGCGGAGGTCGAACTGTACTCATACGGCTACCATCTTGTTCCAGACGTCGCCGTCTCACTGGAGGACATTTGGAAACCTGGATTTCACGATGTGGAATGGATTTTGTTTATTTGTCGATCTTTATTTCCTTCATAGAATCCGGGCAAAGAAACGACGATATGGATTGAAATGATCAAGTGTTACTCACCGTTTCATAGTCCTCATTGTCCACTGCCCGTAGGTTTGACTGCTCTGGCACAAGCCCGGGGTCTTCCATGTGAGACTCTGTTTCACTCGATGTAGTCTATACAAAAGGAATGCAACTGAATAGTTCTTTTTTTAACACAATGTACAAGGAAACCGTACAACTATTGCCATACAAAAACTAAGGAGAGAAATCTCATTTTACTTCCCCGATAAGGCAATACTTTGCTGCAAATAACTTGGCAACTCACAGCCGGTTTGGATTGTTTGGATCTCACCTAGCATGCATGCATGGTCCACCAACCCCACTTCGTAAATGAACACTAGATCGGTCAAGACTCACTTGCAAATTATAATAATGTTCACATGAGGCTCAGTTTAATCTCTCGTTTAGGATGCTTGTCGACCAAATGTGGTTTGCCAATTCATGCTACAGTTGATCAGATATTCAGGATGTCGACCAGTTTTATCTTGAGATAATGGTACTTATAAGATCAATGAGAAATCTTCGATGACCCGTTGCCGGTTCTGCATTTTTATGGCTTATCAGTTGGGCGTAGCACCGATTTCCATCTCCTACCTGGACACTTAGTTGTACATCGTGTTTGTGCTGTTATGGGCTCCAAATGAGGCACGCGTTCATAGAAATCTGTTTAAGGACCATAGAAACCTCTGACGGATTCCAGGTTCAAAATGCGAGAAGAAAACTTCCAGGTGGCCATTGTGACCGGACGCACATGAATGTCAAGATATGTGCGCCCGAAATCTCTGGACCCATGAATCAGCAAACAGACTGAAGCTACGCGAGATGAACCGCCAATAAAAACTGAGGGATGGCGTCCAAGAGAACAATATGGTCACAGATGGTCGCCTGTCTACTGAACTTAAAGCGCAGAGCTGAATTCAAGACAGCATGGGTCGACCCAAGGTATACTTTTAACTCTCATCTGACAACAGTTGGCCAAAGTTTGACTATATTTTGTTTCTTCTGCAATTCCGATCAACAATGTCTTGTTCATTGTCTTCGAAATCACTGAGAATGGCGGGCGCGTACTACAGATGCAGTCACCAATACACCATCCAAGTAAGATTACATTGTCTACCTTCAAAGGACTGCTTCTAAGGGAGGACCTACTAACTTATCTGATCTGGAGACAAGTTTTCCCATAAAAACTATTTGTCGGGAGGGATGTACGACAAGCAGTTGTTAGCAGTCGTTATTCTTTTTTGTATCCCGCACCCTCCAGTCAGATAGGCTTCATTTAGTCGCTGTTTTTGAAAACCCAAGGATATCACTTTCGCTGCCCAAAATTTAGTCCACCCGCTTAGATTTTAGACGGATTTACGCCATGGTAAACAACTATTTATGCTGCAAAACGTTAAGAATGTATACATTTATATATATATATTAAAAATATCTGTCACGCCGTCCTCATCACCAGATGTATTAACCGCACACCTAGAGCCCCAGAACCCCAAATATGGTATTCAGACAATATTTTCTGAAAGCATGTGCGCCTACAACACCAGGTTGGTCTTTTTCATCTCTATGGTCAAAAGTTTGTGATCATTCCACGCAGATAACAATGCTTTTGGATTAAACAAGTTGAATGTTTTGTCATCTTGAAACAAAACCATGCATTCTTGTGTCCAGTTAAAACTAACAGTTAAAACTAAACACCGATAATTGCGTCGAAGGTAATGATATTGTCGATGCGTCCGTGGTCAGGGTTCAACCCAGCTCGGAATCACGTATCACGAAACTCCAAGATGCTTTCACTGGTGTCCTGTGATCATCACTGTCCTAGCCGACCACTCACCGTTTTCGGATAGTGAGTGTGTTGACCAAATATTCAAACTCTCTCATGTGCTAGAACAACGCCATACATACGAACGACCAACACTTTTGGTATTACTGGATCTCCAAGGCACATTCGACTAGGTTAACTGGTTGTCCTCCGACACGCTTACCCTTCAAGGAATGCCCCGGAAGTTTTTGTACATAATACTTCCTTTGTATTCTCAGAATTCCGGACGTGTGTAAGAGAATACGCAGAGCTCTCCTAAAGCTTTCATACACAAAGCGGGACACTTACTCTCCCCAGTCCCATTTAGCCTCGTGATCAATGAAATCATGAGACGAACGCTGGAAGGTCCCAAAACCCCGGTGTTCAAATAACTTCTGACAAATACCTTATCAATCTTGAATGAGCAAACGATATCGTTCTCATCTTCGACCTTTGGTATGCACTTTGCACCCAGAAAGTTTAAGGCCATACTCGTGGACGGACAGCAGAACTGAGACGTCTTCAGGTGTTTGACAATCGTTTTCTCAGAACCATAGTTCATGTGGGTCGGTGTCGGTGAATCTTTAACGAAGCACAAAGAAAGCAAGTTTTTGGTTGTGCAGCGGGTACTTCCATTGAAGATTATGTCTAGCACCAGAACCTGCTTTGCTTTGGACATGTATTGCGTTTGCTGAACGATCGTGCTGTTTTCCGTGCCTGATTCCGAGAGGTGGCCAACACTCAACATGGCAGATGGGCATGAAAGAGATTACGAAACGTCTGGGTGCTGTCGGTGCTGCACGTCTTCCAGGTCGAGGACCGCGTGAACCCCATTGCGCCTGGTTGGAGACGCTGCAAGGTATGGCTTTTTTGTCTGTTTTCAGATTGCCTGAATGAGTGTCTGGAGGTGTATACACCTCGAAATGATCCCGGTAAGCTATTTCTAAGTCACTCTACCCGTTTACCTTCATGCTCTTCTACACCGTAAGGCTTTCATGGTTGTATGGCAGCGAAGCACCAGTGTTGAACACTGATATCATGCTGTCCATGGTAATGTTGATAACGATGATAGTGATATGCTCAATGGTTTTTCTTTGCTTGTGTCATTACGTCAGTGTCACCAATTCTGAACTTTGGAAAATTTTGTTGCACAGTTAGCCTGACATAAAACTTAGACTTGAACTTTGGAAAATTTTGTTGCACAGTTGGCCTGACATAAAACTTAGATTTTGCGAGGGTCACGGAGCATGTCGCCAAGCCTGGGGGCAGCGATTGAGTTGACTCATCCTCTAGTATGCCATGCACTATCTTTTAAAGTAATTCACTAAATAGTGTCCAATATGGTTGTACAGAAAAAGCTTCAACCATTGCACGTGGGGTTTAAGTGTCCAAAATGGCAGCGATTTTCGCCTGTTCTTAATCTGTCTCGAATTGATGTGAAATTTTCTCGCTCCTTCCTAATGTTGACGAAACTGCCAAAAACTTTGCGTGGTACCGCGTCCGAAAACAATCATTGTGGAAAAATCGTGCAAAAATTCGTGAATATGAAGTCCATAGAATGTAACACTCACCTCTTCCTCATCATCGTCATCGCTATCCATTGGTTCTGCTGATAGACGGCGATCGGTAAGTGGTCCATCGAACTCATGATCCTGAGGCTGAATTGATTAATGTATTTCATTTTAGTTTCACGCTACTAAAAATTGATAAGTAGTTCAAATTTAATCCTCAGATTACTGCACCGATTCAGCCGCAGATGGGTTTTCATGGGTGGGCTAATCGGCTAACCTGCATACCGTAATCAACAACGCCCAGATTGAATAGCTGCTTGACCAGCGACATCCATGCGGCAATGCACTGGATACTCGCTCTTCGATTTCCATTCACAGTCGCCTGAATAATGTGCCCTAACTGCCTATGGATATGCTTTCATCGATGTGTTGAAAGCAAGATAACGCTAACAAAAAACTGAGTCATTGACAACAATACCCGCAAATTGAAAGTGTTCAGCGACGTATTTTCGATCATGGACTGTGAATTTCAGGTACACAAGTACATGCACAGGAACATTCGAGTCACTGAGGAAGTATATTTCAGGCTGAGCTGTGCCACTCACTACTCGCGGTTATTCTCTTCGGTTTTTCATGAGGCTTATGCTATGAAAAGTGAAGACTAGTTCAACAGCTCGATATACCGTTAAAACATCCGGTTAGAACATTGATTTATTCGTTACCGAATGTAGAAAACAGCTAAAATTAATAGCTGGCCGAGTAAATTTGCTTTACAAGTAGTATAACCTCAAGGCCTGAATTTCGGCATCATCCAGTACACTCGGTCAACTACAGCCTGGATACAAGAACCATGAAAACTGTAGACAACTTGCCACGGAGTTTACGTGTGAACAAGCATTTCTACAGCTCTTGTGAGCCACTTATTAAGGAACCCCAAACGGCAAGATCTTCCAACATAAGTCTGTGAAAATCTGGCTCCAAATAAGCATTTCATTGGGGACTGATTTCAATTCTCGGTAATGCAGATATGACGAATTTTTTGGTGATATACCGATCTCTCTGCAGGATAACATTGTTCTTTTATTCCTTTCATTTAAGATAAACTTAAAATAAGTCAGTGACTGTCCAGTGTTTTTTGGGATTTTTTCAACCTTTTGGCTACCAGTTTTCACCATGGTACAGATCCATTTTATATGCATTGGATGGTATTTCTTATTTCCTCTCTCTCTCCCTAAATAGACAAGCATCCAGACACTTTATCGCGTTTCTTTTAGAGCCCGCATTCATCATTATGCTTGAAGCAATCGTACTGTTTCTTTTAACATAGCCTCATTCGGATTTTCCAAGCGAATGGTAGTTTACGCCTTATGGTTACTCAGCCTGAACTACGGCCAGCATCATTCACCGACTCTTCCACCTAGAAAGAAAGCTAATCTTCCGTTATAGACCAAGGTCTATTTTTACTCCTTCTAGTGATGTAACAACACGTGTGCAGGATCTCCACTATGAGGGCCCTCAGCCAAGTTGGAGGCGCTCGTGCATGGATTCGAACTCAGGTGATCGGAACGGAGATCCGCGATGCTAATCACTGGGCTACCCTGGCCAAAATGCAGTTGTGATCGAACTACTAGATGACACTTCACGAGTCAAAGTGACCCTATCAATGCCTTGCTTCCACTCTTAACCTAGCTAATCTCCAAATCTTCTGAAGGATAGATTAGAAATTTTCATTTCGTTGACATTCGGAATCAGCTTTTGGTTTTTGCAAGAGGTCTGGTTGTATGGCTTTTCTTCGTATGGTAAACAGCGTCATGGTCAAATCATGTACCATTTTAAAATCTCTAGTGTCTTCGTCCAGTTGTATTCTCAGAGCCAAATTCTGATGAGTTACACCAGTTACCAATAGGCCTTGGCCCGTATGTGTTTATTATTTTCTCAGGCCATGCAATTTATAACGAAATGCGGCTATTGACTGACAGTTTCAACCAACGATACCCCTATCTGATAGGGTTGTCTATTCATTTATACTGGCATTTTCCGCCCTTTCGCTGATTTGGTTAAAAACCTGGTGGGATGGCATTATGAGTGCGCCTCTAATGCTCGAGTTCTGTTCACCCGCACTGACCTTGACTTACGATTAGTCGTTCCTAGCGGCTTGTTGTTTGACCTGTCTTCCCCTGAAGTTTGGAAGTGTCCTTCAATGCCTGACTTACAAGCCACAATTCTTGAATACCACCATGGATGACATACTTGAGAACATACCATTACTTTGAAAGTTCTTTTCCTCAATCAAACCAAGTATGTTTGGGCTATATTCTGAAGATTTGTAAACTCTGTCGTTCACGGGGGGTAGACTAGTTACACTATGGGAATCTAGATGAGATTTCTAGGAATTCATCCAATAGAATCACTAGTCTCACCAATAGCTACCAATGTTGATTCATCAGAGAGAGATGGACAACGAGAACACCAAAACAAGGTAGATCCGCGATATACTAGCCACAATTGCACCCTGTGGTGATCCATAGCTCCTAAACAAAAAAACGGGACTTGAGACTACACAAAAGCAAAACACCTGTGGTTATGTTTAGCAATACGTGAGTTACTCGGTCACCCATGTTATGAGGGGTTATGTTCGTAATCGTAAAAAGGTCTGTTTTAGCCTGGGAAGCATTACCGAAACCAAGCCTACCTGCTATATGCATCCTGTGTGATAGGTGACAGAGGAAAAATGCTGTTCATACTAGGTGGTGTTAGGGATGTAAACCACAGTGCGCGTCACAAGGATACCGAAAGAATAAAGGAAAAACCATTAACCCACCGCCACGCACCACTACGCTCCCCAATAACGCACTGATGATGTCACCTCGATTGATGATGCAACGTCTGCAATCAAATTGCCCAGCTCAGCGAACAAGTCAACGACCATGAAGGCCTCAGTCATCATGGAAAATTCAACTTAAAGTGCCTCAACTGCTGACGAAGGGAAAACGTCAGATAATTTAACAGTTTCAACCTATTGAAATGCTTGCTCGCACTTATTCGCAGTTTGTTCTACTGGATCGAGCAAATCTGTCCATCTGACCTATTCGCACACAAAATACACGTAGTCATATGTTTGCCCGTCAAGAAGAACAACTATCGGGAAACGTTTATCTCACTTTAGACTAGAACCTGCAACAAAACCGACTTAAAGTTATTTGCACGGATGAGTTACTTGTTTTCCGTTTGTTGCACACAGCAAACTTCGTTACTGCTTGCGCGACAGAACGCCGTACCGAGGGACTTCTGGCCTCGTAAATCGAAAATACGCCCTCACTGTCAGACAAAACATTACCAACTCTGTACATCAGTCTGCACTGATCCATGCATCTAGAAATCTTGTAGAGTTTAGATAAGTTGGAGTAAGGCAGCTTTAGGACGAGGGCAAAAGGGCGTGTGCCTTAGTTTATCCTGAACACGTTGAATCATTATGGTGGTAATCAGCTCACATTTGGCCGAAATGGTGGCGCCAATGCAATTGAAAGTTTCCATGCTTACCCTCCTTAATTTGATTGAGACCAAGCCTTTTTGAAATATGGCTGTGCTCAGTTTGATCCACATGACCCCATAGAGCATCACAGACGTTTCCACCACAAGTTAAATTTGAATTACCATTATTGATTTGCGCACCGTTTTTGTTCGTTACCTGTGTGACGCGCATTCCGACAAAAACCGCTCGGAATGTCACCACTCCACACAAGACATGACCCTGTATAGTTATTCAAACTCATGAAGGGAAGCAACCGACCTTAAATGAATGATTACCCGGGACATCCAGTTCTGTTTGACTTCTTTCAGTAGAAAGTCTAGCCCTTGAAATTTCCAGCCTTCCCAAACCCCTCCCTATGCCTGACAGTCATATGCGTGGTGGACTTACTTCTAGTGTTGCACCTGTATCCTTTCTCCCTCTGATGTTAACCTTCTGCCTCGGTCTGCGAAAATAACCTTTCCTCTATTTTATTTCAGCTACTGGAACCTCAAAAGTAGTTATAAATCATGGTAACAAACTCGCGATTCTTTCTGCTCTCAGCATCACAGTGGACAAGAAATCTAGCTTGTGATAAATCAAGACACTAGTGATCGCACACGGAACACAGATAGAATTGACTAAATGTTCAGAGCAACGGACTTGGTCATGGTAGCCTTAGTGTGTCTGAGATCAGAATAGCAGCCGAAAGGGTAAAGCGCCTGTCAGGCAAATTAGGGGCTGCGGTTTCTGTTGTCGTACATAGCATTTTCTTTTCTTTGGGATCTTTATAGCATTTTTCTTTTCTTTGGGATCTTTTATGGTACGACTTCTCACTGACCACCTAGAATAACAACACTCATAACGCTCTCATAACAACACTGACCTGGTCGGCTTGCCCTTTCTCGTGACGATGCGCTGCGTTCACAACCGGTTGTGGTACATCGGCCCGCGGAAAAAGTGGGGTATCTTCCTAGAATAGCAGAAGAGACGGAATGCGATTAAATTTCTTCCGTCGGAACACCGTTATAAGAATGCTTACGATTTTGAATAGATCGAGCAGTTTATCCGAAGCGCTCTGTCTTCCGAACCAGGTAAGTTTTGGATAAGCTGGTGCTCATATGGAAGTTTCATATCACCTCGAACCACCTATCAACTCGCTATAGCAGCTCAGTTCTTTAATAAGACTCACATTTAGAAAGTTTGCTAATCAGAACACAGCGCTGTTGTGCATTGCTTGTAATCCAAAATCGACAGGGCTACTGTGGGTAACTTTTGTCAATGGGTCCCACAACGAAGTGAACGCAAACGAAACAGCAAAGCGAGTCAACCAGTTCAGTGATTGGTGGGACGATGGGCTTAGTTCAGTAGTCTATCATGAGCGATATCGGGTGTGTCAATATGTGTGCGTCTGTCTATGGGTCTGTTGTGGTTGGAGAATTTCGACAAGGTCGATAGATGAATTCGCGGGTGGGAGTTGTCACCTGAGGTCAAATGATATAGTGGCATAGAGTCCGGCCTCGTGTCTGGCTGACATGCCGAGTTGGTTGTCGGGTCAGAACAAACCAAACAGATGGGAGAGTTACCTCGTAGCCAGGATGGCACAAGTCGGAAACTTACTAATTCCTAGGGATTCAAACGCTGCTTACGTGAACTGAGGTCTCACCACAGAATGTGACTGCGATGTCAACCCAAGAATTCTGCTCAAGTGCAAGTAGGTCTATGGCTTCTTCATTTCTGTGAGGTCATGAGATTGGAATCTGCTAAGATGTTCATGTTCAGCTGCTTTCAGTTTTAGCCATCTATCTGGTATAATCGACCGGAAACCATGTGTATGCCTGTGTATGCCTTTCGTGTGATGCTCTGGAGTGATAAAATCTTCTACCCTTGTAAGGTGCTTTGCAAGAGTATTGTCAGTCTAAAATTAAGTATTGATTTCACAAGATTTATAACTCTCTTCACATCACCATCAATCAGTAAGTAGCTCAGAAGAAGAAAAATTTCACAGGATGAATGATATTCCCTTCTGAGAAGCCATCAGTCGAGGAACCAGTCAGTCAGCACGTGACCACGTGATGTGGCTTCCGTGATTGAAGGATGAGTTGCGCTATAGAGCCATTCATCCTACTGTTCAGCCATCCTTAGCCAAACGGTTGGGTGTCCAATCATTGGACTGAAGTTCACGCTCTGCTGCGCTCTGCTGATGATTCCCAGAACGGATAAGTCAACAGCTGTACAGTGCTCCTCGACTCAGCTTCAGCGTAGACTCGTTTCAATGACAGAACAAGATATCCTCTTTCGATTGTGTTTGATTATTGGGATGTGACAAGTGACCAAATAACAGACACGGTTTTACCAGAGAATCCGTATCAATGTAATGTTCTTGATTTGTGAAAAACCTAGAGCGGATCAATCAGGTGGAAGAGGACTGATTTGAACATCACGGTAAAAAGTTACAGAGATGAAAAGATTCTGCAAAACAAAGTTTTCCTTTGATTTTGTGTGTGCATGTGAACAATGTATTGTGGACGTATTCAAACGGGCATAATAGTCTAAACTACGGACGTTGCAGCATACTTTATAGAAGATTGAATATCGTACCCAATGTTAATTCGATTATCACTTAAAAGGAGAACTTTGGTCGATCCACGAAATCCAACCCCCACTCCAAGAAGGGACAACTCTAACCGTATCACACTAATTGCCGTTAGATTAGCCGTTTAAGCTTTTATATGCTTCACCCATAGGTATAGTTCTTTTCTTTGAAGGTTTTCGGGGATTTTGGAATCAGCATATCCCTTGCACCGATTGGAAAATAAGTAACATAATTATGTGAAATATTTTATTCACAAAGCTATCGTTAATTTGTTCCTCCTGGTCCAAATAACGATAATTTTGATGTGTGGACCCTCCACACTTAACAGGATGTTGTGAATAAGCGTATGGTTAGTCGACGTTGTGAGGATCCAAGTTCTTTCCTCCATCAGTTATTTTCCTCCTTTGCGGTGTACGAAAATTTCCGCCAACATTTACTTCATAATAGATTTCTAGTTCTAAAACTCATTCATATGACAAATTGACAATTCTTGCCAGGTAAATAAGCTTTTTCCCTTGGAAAGCTCCCCTCATTTGTTCGAAATCTGTGGAGGAAAATTCATCCAGTAGGTCAGTCAGGTTATTTGTTTCTAATACACCCTTCCCGAATTTGTTTTTTTATCTGCCTCGTGTACGCGAAACCCAGCCTCGTCGCACATAGTTCACAGGTGGACGTAACGAGCAACTTAGGATTGCTCACCGGCAGACTTCTGAACTTGAAAACGGAACAGCAGTTAGACAGATAACACGCCCACTGGATAGAAAAATACCCTACTACGGATGATACTACCTTCCATGACACTCGGAATCTCACTGACTTATTTATGATTGCACAGCACTTCTTTCTTCTTCCCGCACATGTGAATGCATTTTACTATCGTATGGTAACATAGGTTTTGCTGTCCTTGTATCGTTGTACATTGTGATAACACTCACTCGGTCAGTTTGTTTGTCCTTGTGATGACGAACTGTGACCACAGGCGGCTCCGGTGCACTGGGCTGTGACGGGATCCCCTTCTCTTCCTGCAGTAAAGCGGATAACCGAGTTTTATAACGGTGCACAAGTAGAGCTGGACGGCATCACGTTCATAGTCACTTAATTGGAGAGTGCTTAAAATCGACTCAGAATTGATAAGTCTTCTATTAGAAAAACTCGGAGATAGTGCCCTAACCATTCTGTTGGTAAATATTCTGCTTACGCGTAAATGCTCCGTTGTATTAAAGAAAATTTTCTGTTGATGGGGAGATGAATGTTACGAAGGTGAAATCAAAAAATTTTCAGGGTGCACATGAGGCTAACGCAAGCTTGCCTTAGAATTAGATTCAATTTTCAAAAGAAAAGATTACATTTAGAAAGTTTAAAACCAAAGTATTCCGATATCACCATCTTCATCTAGCTTACTTGCCCTAATAGGTTCTCATTGACTTGGAAAACCCATAAAAAGCACCTAGTTTGTCATTTAACTTGGCTAACATGGCAGTACACCCGACAAGCATGATGAGAGTACTGTTACCCAAGCGGAAAATTGTTCTTGACAGGTTGGTTTCGAAGCATATTTGAAACATAATGTCCGCTTTTCTGCTTTACTACAGTGTTGACGCAAAGCAGAGTTCTTTTTCAGACAGTTTCTTGTTATAAAACCGCCCGAACAACTTTAAGCTTGTGTCCTATAAACGTGCGTTCGACACTAAGTCGGTGATAAGCTGAAAAACGCTTAGTCAGATTGGGCCGTGAATTCCCATAAACCGAATGAAGTACTCAAGCCCCGGAACACGAAATAAGACATAACTCATTTCTCCCATTTTCCTTTCTAACTTCGCGTCTTTCGCGATTAATCCGCTTGACTTTCCAGCCTGTCCAAAAAAGTGAACTCGTTCCATCACTGAATTTTTTGCTAGAGGCTACTCCTTTTTGGTCAAGGCTTCGGACAGATTCATTTAGTGCAACAGCTGTGTGGCCACTAGAATTTTCACAATGAATTACTTGAGATTTATAAGTAGCTTACATTGACAACAATAAATATGAATCACGCAAGGCAGACGAAGGCACTCAGTCAGGCTTCACTTGCACATTACTCTGGTTTTAAATAGAGATTCTGCCAAATTTCCACTAAATCACTTGGTTTTGATATTCTTCAACTGAATTTGGCGTCTCATGCTCCAGTTGAAACCATATTCGCAATACCGCAGTGTATTTTCATAAAGGAAACTACTCACAAAGTTACTGAAAACACTTCAGCACTTTGACCGGCTTCGCCCTTGTCGAAGCGGACGCATTCCCCCAGTTTCCGTCAAACTCATGTTTCACTTAAATTCAAATCCACGAAAAATTGTGAAATGCACTCATTTGCACACTAATTTGGTTTTGACGGAGTTCCAGCTGGATTCCTCATATTATTCAGCAGCCTTAGCAGAAGTGTTCCACCAAGATTCAGTCAAGATTTTGGTATCCGTTCACGCCTTCATCGTTGATTCATTAACACTAAGCCCTTCTTGGAGTTCCAGCTGGATTCCTCATATTATTCAGCAGCCTTAGCAGAAGTGTTCCACCAAGATTCAGTCAAGATTTTGGTATCCGTTCACGCCTTCATCGTTGATTCATTAACACTAAGCCCTTCTTTAAAGACCGAAGAATAGTCAGACGAGCAATCTGGTCGTTTCATCAAGACAACAAGATGACAAATGTTGAGAGATGTTAAGCCCCATCTGTCGCAAAGCTTGAACTTTGACAGCGACTAACTTAACGGCCCTGAGTGGTATCCTCAACCACATTCCGTTTCCATCACCACTGCTATCAGTATCATAGGCGTCACTGAGCTGAATGTCATAAATTGACTCACGTGATCTGCTTTATCTTCCTGTTGACGAGGGACAGCGGACTTATCCGGTTGTGTAACCATGATACGCGACGGAAAAATCTGCCTTCCTGATTTTTTCTCCTAGAAAATGAGACGGATGTAAAATAGTACTCAGTTACATAAAGGAATGTATTTTTGTTGTTCGACACTGACTAAGCTGTTTCTGGCTCAGTCACTTTAGAAAACAAACTTATTTGATTGCCCTAAATGCTTCTGCTGAGTGGTTCTGCATACGCTTTATGCATGGAAAGTGTCAATTTTTACTGCTGAACTGAGTGGAATCAACCTAGAACCTTATTCCTGTAGATGAATAAATTGAGTTGATGGATAATTTTCTCTGCTGGCCAGCTACAAAATTCTTCTTGTGGACTGAAGAAAACTGAATTCGTTTTCGGAATTGGGAAGACCAGGGAAGCGTTTGCCGAACTCCAACATTTGTGGCTCAGACGGTACATCTGCTTGACTGTCAGAAATACAGTGCACAATACTGTATTTCCACCTGTCCTATTTTATGCATCAGTGCGTGCAATTTAGTTCATTCTGGTTTATTAGCTGTAACCATTGTTCCAAGGGTACGTTGGTTTTAGCTGCTCCAGTTTCAGCCGCCGAAAAACGGGACAGCGGAGGAAATATAGCCAAGCATTGTAGGTGACCTCACGATCTTCAAAGACCTCTCGTCTTTGTCCAGACGTACTTCCGAAGCATTGTGCATGTCTGGTGGAAACATCAAATCAAAATGCTGAGGCACACTAGATGGTTTTCAGGAAATGCAACTCCAACTCTATAGAACAACTGGTTACAGACCGTAGGTTACACTGGTTGAACCGTGCACTTCGTTCACCAGAGGATCCTTTGACCCGCAAGGCCCTCTTCAACCAATCGTGTGTCGGATGAAGATGACATAAAGGCGGTCGGTTCATGACTTGGCAGAAACCTTACCAGTCAACTCAGTTGCATTGGTAACTAGGTCTCCACAGATAGAGACTGCTGAACTAGACCAACCAATGGTTAGCGATCCTGCTGGATATGTCAACCAGTGAGGATCTTGTATCGAACCTACATCCTCTGATGTGCAGCGCCCTCGCTTCTTACTACTCCGTTGTAATGGATAACCTGTTTTTGCGTACTGGCTCCGTTCCTCCAGCTTCTCTATAAACCTCTTCAAATCGTCCGTGATCCATGTTAACAGATATTCTGAAACCCAAAAAAACCGTATGTGTTGCCAGGCTCACATTCTCTGAAACCATACAAATAAGCATCTAGTCACTGTTTTATTTGGGTTCTTCTTTAAATTTGCATTTATGCGCCAGGAACAAAGTTCTACACGGCGAATCTGATGAGTTGCCCGGCTAGATTGTTCTAACCTATGGTAGTTGCATCTTGTAAGTTGCATCTCATCATACTAGTCCAATCAGTGTTCAGATCACTGACCCTGTCCGACTTATTCTTAATTTATCACCCGAAAATCTGGCTTCTACTAAGGCATAAAAGCGGCACAATACACAGTTTTCTTAAACATAGTACAGGCAATATTATATTGAACTGACGTCTCTAGAGAGGAGGCTCATCTCTCCCAGTGCAGACAAACTTTTGAGTTGATCATATTACGCAATTCATATAAGCAATTCTCTCCCTTGAGGGAGCAATTCACACAAAATGGTTGTTCATCTTACTTACTGGGGATGAGCTCCGTTGACTCGGCTCCGTAACAGCCATAGTCCGTTGAATAGGCGGTACACTGGAAAGCGTGGAACTTCTCGGTTTATCCTCGCTACTCGTCTCCATCTGGTCGCCAGTCGTGAGGTCATCTTGCTTAGGTTTCTGCTCTGGTGCTTGCATATTACTTTTCCCTTTGGAAAGCCCGGACGTCCATAAGCTCACACTGGATAACAGAAGCGAACTGGAGGAACCGGGATCCTTTGATGAATGATCCGGCTCATTCGAATAGCTCAGATCCCCGACCGACGACTGTACGAAACCCAGATTTGGATCTGTGGCTAGCGAGGTTGGTGGCGGTCTGCCCAAATAGACAGACCACCAAAACCACAAGACAAAGCTCATGAATGCATGAAAGAATGCGCGGCCAAAAAAGCAGAGCAAAAAGAAACTGCTCAGGAAACTTATGCCAGCACACAGGCCCAGCGTCCCTCCAAGGTTGCTGATCAGGTTGAACAGTGACTCGGTCAGTTCTTCTTCCCACACATCGATCAGTTCTCTTGCAAGTCGTATGTCCACAATTATAAGGTCACTAATTTTCAACTCCTGTAGATGCACACTGCTATCTATCTTGTCTATACCTTCGTATTTTTCCATGAATTCCTGTAGAATTGGTTGATCAAGTTGACTGGCAGAGAGCTGCTTCACATAGGAATCGAGAAGAGCTGGTGAGAAAGTCAGGTTGGGATCCAGTTCAAGTACTTCAAAGAACCGAGTTGAGTAAATGTCCTGCACAAGAAAAGTTACCGAAGAAACTAACATGATGATTACCTAAATCGATCAGTGTAGCTGGTAAAAGTGCATCGGATTACTGAAGGACAGCTAAGGTGACATCAGTAAGCAATACAGGAACACCAAAGCTCCAACGGATAACCTGGATATCTAAAGTTACCTGAAAGCCCTTGTAAGCCAGAAACCTACGGCTATGCATCAGTTTGCTAACGGAGAGTCGCGATCAGTGTCGGACATCGTCACCTATCTTGGGCCTAGGGTTTCCTCAACGCCTGCATCAATGTGCCTGCACCACTGGATTAGACAAATTCTTTCGGCGGCACAAGTCAAACTCTCTTGCCAGTATTTTGCTAATTTCGTGAAATTCGGTCTCAAGGTTGACGGAGACACGGGAACTGCACCTACCTGATGAGCCCCAAGAAGGGCGAAACCACTCGTAAACTGTCGAAGAATTTTCGGCAAACTTGTGAGTAGTGTATTACGTCTGTTGCTGATACTTCTCTCCGATGAACACAGCCGACCATATCCAATAAAAATAAGCTAATATAATTAGAGACTATTTCACCAAGCGGACCCACTTCATTTGTGGGGAGGAGTATTCAAAAGTGCCCACCAGCCAACAAGCGCGTTAAAAGAAACTACTCATTTCCTATTCTTTGGCCCTCCTCTCCTCTTATGTATTTCACCGTGCCTAATTCCTTCGGTCGAAATAAGCACCTGTGAAAAGTAGTATTAACTAAGCCAAAATTCCTCCTCCAAGTAGTGTGTCCCGTTCTGGAAGATTACTATTTCCAGGTGATACCGCACGAAGGAATCTAAAACTTACTTGGGCGATATTGTCACTTGGTCTTGCGAACCTTCTTCTACCTTACGTATATTTCCAAACGTTAAGGTATTCTTTTCCTCCGCTGCATCGAGAAACCGGGAATTTATTGACGATTTAATGTTACTTATCGACAAGAACGTTTGAATTCTGAGATCTGCTCATTTCTGAGGACCCAAAGTACCATTGTTGATGTGGACCATCCCGTTCCCTAATTTTCATTCGCGAATACCTTACGCATTTATTTTGTCCTTAAAGCTATATTCTCCAATCTTTCAAAAAACTTTTTTTATTTAGTTATGTCTCAAAACCTGCACCGCAGACTAACCATATCCTGCTCACACAAACTAACACAGTTTTTAACGAATATACACTCATTTGGTTTTTCGAGAGACTCACCTGGAACCCAGCCGAATCTTTCGTTTGTGAAGTTTCCAGGCAACTGTATGCACTGCACTAGGCCGCTTCATGTTTCACTTGGCACGATATTCGAGATATCGCGATACATGTATATATTTGCAATGCACTACTCGTGAGGTTGCTGAAAATCCGTTGGCAGCCCAAGAACGGTTTCGCCGTTCTTGGGGTTCATCAGGTAGGCGCAGTCCCCGGGTTTCCGTCAAATTTGTGTTCTACCTGAAACTAAATTGCATGAAATTAGCGAATATAGACTCATTTGCAAACTAATTTGGTTTTTCGCAAGTGAGTGTATATTCGCTAATTTCGTGCAATTCGGTTTCAAGTAGAAAATGGGGTTGATGGAGACCTGGAGACTGATGAGCCCTAAAAAGGGCAAAACCGGTCGTGAGCTGTCGACGGAGTTTCAGCAACCTTATGAGTAGCGCGTTACAAATAACACAGTTTTTCTTACGAGAACCTATGTATGCCGGAATGCTGTGCGACCCTTCATGGCCGGCATCATTTTGATCTCCGTTACTTCATGATGCTTTCCTATCACGCCTTCTGGTTCCCTTCCTCTGAAAGGTCTCTCTTCATTAACCTAACGTTCTCGAATACCGGAGAAGTGACAATCCCTAAAAGAATGGTGCGTGAGATTCTTTTGTCGGTTTTTGTTGGGTACGAACAACAAGAATACGACTAATCGACAGTTCCTATGGGACAGATCCCAAGAGAACTGACCTTCTTTGAGGGGTGGCTTTCCTGACAGAAAACCTATTCGTAAAGTCTAGTGCTTCTTGTATGCCAAACACTCACCTCTTCGGATGCATGGCACTGTCCTTTACTTGACAATCAATAGTAAAACTAGTGATAGTAATAATACTAATATCAATGAAGGCCTCTTTTGCACGCAGCTTGCAATTTTGCAACTTCGCTAGTCTTGATGAAAATGGGGGACGGTGAAGCAAAATGAGGAAAGTGGTCGTATGTGGTGAAGAACGTGAACTGTTCAGTTTTTAGAGGAAATTGCAATAAATGCCATAAATGATTTGGATTTTTAGGCCTGCCTTGGCAACATGATATTTTGTCACTAAAACGAACCCGAGTTCTCAAATGTCCTATTCCAGTGTAACTGAATGTATGGACTGATGGTTTCCACTCGCCGCTGAATTTTGAAATGTCCAGCTCTGTTCCTATGACAGTTTTTCATCTATCACCAAACGAACTATAATCCCAACTCCTTTTGCCGTATTTTCGTTTGCGTACACAGCCTTCGGGTTCGTTCACAGTGCATGTCCCATAGACTGCGCATATTTCTGCGCAGCGCTGGCTGCAGAAGACTATTCATCTGATGATCATACAACCAACTAGTTCTCGACCAGTCTAGCAGTCATCACCCCCTGGCTATGACTTCCTCTTAATTACAACCACATGGCGTCAAGACCGGACAAAGGTCGTCCTTCTCTCCGAAAGAGTGCCAAATGTGCTTGCTGCCTTGAAATGGTGACACAACCGAGTGCTGTGCCCAATTCCACCATTCAAAATTTCCAATGCGGGACAAGCGCATATGACTCATGCTTTCCTCCAAGAATGAGGAAAATGAATTCGAAACTAAGAGGTGTTATATAAGTTTCAGTCTTAAGCACGAAGAATTGCGTGGTTCCAAGCTGTAGTCCACGAAGCAGAAATCACTTATTTAGAATCGAAAGACGGAAAAGTTCAGTACAGAAAACGTGGATACCTGATCATCAGCAATATCAGTACCGAAAGGTCAGCACTGCACAAATGCAGTGCTAGCTTAACCTCACTATCGGTCCGCTCACTTTCCGACAAAGTAGATTACAGATTTTGTGACGTTCAATTTTTCTCGTGTCCAAATCTTCTCTCGTATCATACAGTTTATCCAAGGGAACGAATTTGTCCAATACCGACGTAGTGGGCATATTTTCGTATTGATCGTAGCAGAGGAAATCTCCACGCAGACGCTGTGATGTCTTTTGACGAATGTCGCGACAGAACGCTTTGATATTTCCACGTCCTTCTTGTTTGCCAGGCTTCAACTGACGGTCAGCTCCTTCGAATGGAACGAACAGATTATCCGAATAGCATCGACACTCGTCCCTTATGAATCGTTGTTTCATGTTTGCAATACAGTCTTCGTAGGTATAAGCATACTCAAGGTAGTTTGCACCACCACGAAAATTTGTGTACCTGATTAAGGAAAAATCACAGTTCCGTTAGGAGTGGTTGTATCCAGACAACTTTAATGGTGTGAAAATTGAAAAGTATACGCCCGGAAGGACTGACTACACACGAGTTTTTGATTGAACCGACCAGGTGGGCGTTCACTCAGCATTTTCGATCTGCTATCTACATGTCCGGCGACCAGTTTTCACAACCGGTGAATTACATGTAGATAATGTAGGATGGTTCTTGATTTATGTCTTGCAAGATAATGATTATCATTGGTAGTGAGAGGACTTCACTTGTAAGTAAAGCCAATCTACGCTGAAAAGCCGAGAATCACCGTCCAGTTGTTGCTTTCTCCTTACTGGGAACCAGCAGCAGTGCCTAGTTCATGAAACCCAAGGCAGTTGCGAATGCCTGACACTCTGCCTAGTGGTTTGAACCGTTAATTGTTTGACCAGTATAGACTGACTTCACTTACAGGATGAAATCCCAATCGAAAATTACAAAGTCTCTACACTAACAACAACTTATAAGTAGCTCAGAGTAAAAATAATTTCAGCAGACGAGTGAAAATTTCTTCTGAGATGTCCCCACTCGATGAGCTAACGTGATAAGAATTTCGTAACTGAAGGATGGTTGGTGTTACATCTTGTCTGAGCCCAAATTAATCACACTAGCCTTAATTAACTCGTGGCTGAATTGTTAAGTGTTCAAAGTTCAGTTTCTTGGGATGCGGACCACTGATGACTCTCAGCATTGATGAAACAGCAGCTCTGCACTGATTCTTGGCCTTCCAGCATAGAGTGACTTCAATGACACGAGGAAATATCGATTGATTATCATGTCTGATGGAATATGGTGGGGATACTAACCACAATGTGCTGTAACAAACGAAAAGAGCAGGGGTGGGCGAAAGGACTGTATGAATAGAGTGAGGCAACAGTGGCTTAAAAAATGAGTCGAATTGGTCATGAATGGAACTCATATTGGGCTCGGTGTCTTCCCGGTGGGTCGACGTTTGGATGGGCAAGGTGATGTGAGTTGAGCAAAATTTATGCAAACAAGCATTCAGTCAACTTCTCAACCCACGAAGCTAAACAACAGGTTATTTTGTAACATTCGGTTAGGCTTCAGGACAGATAAACCTGGATCCTCATTAAACCGTCAGCTCTCAGCTGTATCGGCAATGACTATACGTTCTGTGGCTAACGATAATCTACAGCCTCCGTACTCTTTGGTCAACCTTTATTGCAGCGATATTGATTCGAATAAACCCATATGTAGGACGAATCAACCTAACACACATACAAAGAACGCTTCCGGTGACATATTCTCAGGTAAGCCGTGGAAACCCTACCAGTCAATCAACTAGCCCTCGTTTCAATCTGGTTTCTGGTCTCTAGTCATCAAGCTACAGGACGCTTTCGGTGCCCAGTTGCAATGCCACCCGAAATAAGCACAGGGGCCAAAATGGGGCAAGTAGGAAACCTGTCAAAATGCAAAGGGTGGGTTTGCATTGAGGACTTTAAGGTCAGTCAACCGACTTGCCCGATGAACTAACGAACGGAGATCCTAAACGAGAAGTGGAAAAAATGACTTCGGAAGGTATTGTAACAGCCTACAAATAAGTGTTATGAGTGCTAGTATATTAACATAGTTGAAGTAGACGTGGAACTCCCAGTGCCCGCTGAATTACTGTCCACAGAGCGAAATCTCAACTCTGGATTTATCGCAATCATTGAACCAGACTGCGAAAGTTCCCGAAACCGAAACAAAATTATTACACTTTGAACAAATCCGGGGTACTCATGAGTAGTCCGGTTTCAAAGCGTTTTTTTTGTGCGCGGTCATCCCATTCAGATTTTTCTCAACCCGTCGATGACCGGTTGCGGACTGTCGTTTCGATGGTCAATAGCAGACCGTCAATTGATAAATTCAATAGAAACCACCCTCAGTATGGAAATGCTGTTCTCAACCCGTCGATGACCGGTTGCGGACCGTCGTGTCGATGGTCAATAGCAGACCATCAATTGACCCTCAGTATGGAAATGCTACCTACTGTGAGTGACTCAGACAAAAAATAGGTCAGTCCCGCACCGAATTTCTTGGGGGCTTGAGACAAGTGATTAACTCAGCGTCACGTTGTATTTTTCCAGACAGGCATCTCTAGCCCTTGACCATCAAAGTCCTTCAAAGCAGCTGATTCTCAGGCTCACCGGTGACCTGCCAACATTTGACATCATTAGGTCATGACGGGATCTCAGGCTCCGCCACGCCGGCTCAACAGGTGGGTCAAACTGGTTTATCTTAACTCCGTGAGATTCGACAGCGTGTGTTACAGGGTGTGAAGACCATGGCCCATATATCCTGGATTCAGCATTGGCCAAGGAAATCCTCTGCCAAGTCAGTTGATTACTGTTGCAAGGGCTTGTCAATCGAATTCAGCATTTTTTTTGTTCATTCTTGCGTTAGGTCCTGTGAGATTAACGAGAGCTGAGCCGCATAGATGCATTCTACATGTGATTTATCCCATGTAAATAATCAGTACGGAAATTTGGCACAGTCATATAGCTGGCCGACCACCCGCAGCTGAATGACGGAATGCTTGAACTCCTGCCGGAAAAGCTGGGAATTCCAGGAGCTCGAGAGTCATAAAGTGCACATTGTTCACGAACGTCGGTAACTGTGAGATGACTGTATGGTTCTGTTGTTGGTCAACGGCGTATTTGAAATGTATGTGGTGACTTCTAGACTACCCCACGAAAATCCGCGTGAAAAATGAGCCGGAATCACTGAAGTTGTAGGAAAGCACTTTCCGCACACTTAAATGATTCACTAGGTATCTGGTATTCACAGTCCTTTTCGCGAAGTTACACTGAGGACAAACAGAAATTCTGGAAGACATAATCGCAGGTTCGAAGATGATTAAATTGATACCACGACAATTTGAGTGCTTTCAGCATAAAAACCCCACCTGCATAATAAAATTACCACCCAACTGCCACTCCTGTGTATCGTAACAGTTAGATTTAGACCATGATTTCCGTGACCATTTTACTCAAAAGTCAATTGAGGACAGGTCAGTTCGAACCCCCTAGGTTTGACCTTGACTGCGTGTCTCCTAAGGTACTTAAGTTTTTATTTCTAGACACATTATGATATACTTGGTTTGTATTCCAAGCATGCAACAAATTTGTGTTAACAAACTGTGTCAATACGACCTTCGGTTCGTGGACAGTGTCAATCTACGTATTTTCCGAGGATGTAGGTTGAATATTTTGTATAAATTCACCTATTTAGGGGCAGGATTTTAAGGTCCCTTAAAGTTTAGTCATTCCACATGAATTGCACGAGGCTGGTAAAATGCTAATAAGGGAACCTAGTGAAAATCTACTTTGGGTTACTTGCACATCTTGGATCACCAACAACCGAATACATTCAGGTTACTAGCGGAAGTTGATACACTCGGTCGGGACAGTCACCTTACTGATCTGCAACTTGTCGAGCCCAGCAACTACCACAGTGATAACAGTCAGACAAAGGCTGAAGCTACCGTGGGGTTGTAGTGAATGAACAGAAAACGAAGCAAAACGACCTGCTCGTTCTGTGGCAGTGCAGGTTCCCCATGTCACAAATGGCGCACTCCCATAGGAGGCGATCAGTGACAGTGTACTTCATGTTGTTTACCAATCTTGCCTGAAGGAACACGCACGTCCAGGTGAATGAGACGAGACGAATGTCCGCTTTGGCCCCAAAAAAATCCACCTGTCTGGCGGCAAGTTGATGGACGATCAACCACCTCTGTTTGTACCTAGCTGTCTGACAGATTTTGCGAAAATATCCTCTCCAGGTTGTGTGTTGGTGAGTAACAGTGTGCCGAGAAAAGCGTTACTACGTGTGCACATTGGGGTCTGCTATCCGGGTCAGACGTTCTAGACTTTGATCCTCATGAATACGACAAAAGCAAGTCAAGCACAATACAAGTCAGGTCACTGTGTCTAATTTAATTTCAAATGGTCACAGCTACGTTCAGCCTGCGCGTGTCCCAGCATTGCTAGCCCTTGCTAGTCAGTTTCGGTCACGATATCCACTACACAACCAAGTCACCCTTGTTCGTCTGCAGGTTATCATTCAACACTTAAATGAGGCATACGTACTGACCATCTAATCCGCGAACTGTACTGAGTTGCTTACATCGAGTTCATTTCTCACTGCGATTCCGATGACCTTGGTGTCTAGATTTTGCAACCTGATAACTTATCTCGTAATTTAACAACACAAACACAAGAGATGAAATCGAACACACCCACAGTGAAGGTGTGCCTGGTTTCGTCACTATTGATAGTTGATCACGTGGCTGTTGATCTGTTTGCCGAACTTGACAACTGACTTACAGACGTTTCGTCAACAGCTGATGAGATATCGTCAGTCTGTTTTTGAGTCAGCGCACTCGTGTAACACTCGGAAGCTACTAACGAAGCTCTGCGAATAGGTAAACAGTCATCCGATCAACAACCATTCCGCTTGATAAATGACCTTATATACGTATAGTTCTAACGCTACAGTCCCTAAGCCGTACTTACTAGTCAATCCGAAAATCGTATTGCCTCATCCAGAGATTGAGTTAATAGTACATCAAGGAAAGCACGATTTCCGTTAGATTCTTCCTCCCGATAGGCAAGTAAGTCAAGGTCAGACGTTATCAGGGTTGTTTTAAAAATAAACCAAGCTCCTTCTTCTAACACCACAGACTGACCGCTTGCACAGGTAATATCCTAAAAACGCCCGACTTTCTCATTTTCAGCGGGAAAATCTCGGCTAGTTTTTGGCCCTAAGTAACTGTTCACATACGAACGCACACTTCTACGTCACCCAAATGCTCATCAGTGGTTCTCTCAAATTTTAAACTCACATTCTGGGCACAAAACAGAATAAGATTCACAACGGAATTCCAGAATATATAAGTAGCCCAGAAGAAGAGTAGTTTCATAAGAGGAATGATGCCTCCATTTGAGAAGTCAATCAGTAGGTGACAAAATGATTGAAGGATAAACGGCACAACATCCTGTCTGAGTAAGGCTAAATACACCGCTGTCCTGCCACTCGCGGTCCAAAAGTTCAGTGTACAAACTCCTAACCGAGTAACTTCCTGGAGTTCTGTGAGATGCCCACTGAGGATGATTTCGAATAAGGATGAATCAGCATATGTACAGTGTATGTAAATTGGCTTCACTAAAAGGACGAAGATGCCTTTTGTGGACCCACCGCCAAGAGCTATCTAAGTTGAAACTAGCTTTTCAACTAAACAGTAGTTAGCAATTCTCGAACATTAACCAATCCAATGTCATGAGCGCAATTGGCGCTGAAATATGCATGACTGAGATCACTGTTAACGATACATCTGATGTGGGTGTACCTGGCTAACATCTTATTAGCGTTGTCTGGCTCCTAGTCGGTTGGCTGCTGTCGGAATAACTTGTACATTCTGTAGTTGGGGTATCGTGTTAGTCGGAATAACTTGTACATTCTGTAGTTGGGGCTATCGTGTTACTTGGTTCAATTTTTCATAGGTTTTACGTCTTTTGTTGATTCTTTGTTAGGAAATTCGGTAGTTTTAGATTGGTCATCACTTCCGTCCAGTATCACAGAACCGTGGTGCCAACTGCGTTGCAAGAATACCAGATTACTAAGTACACGTAATTTCTTAATGGAGTGGTGATGTTTAGGTATCAGTAAAGACCTACAAAGGTGGTCAGAATATGATACGACACAGCTGCTGATCTGGGTTCATTGAGAGGTGCCTCCTGTGACCATACAGCTTTTTATAACGAACCCGAGATAATGACAAAACTTCTCAAGTTTACGGAGTGTGCTTACTTTCGTTCTTTCACGTACTTCACGGAATTTTTCTAACTTCATTCAGCAGAGGGCGGATAGGTGGTTGCTGAGTATCCCACCAAAAGCTTTGTTGAGTTTCTACAAATCTATTCATTTGCTTAGCCTTGAAATGCTTGGTGTAACTTGCGCTGTCCCGTAAACTCTTCACTATGGCCAACAGCATTCCATGCTGTACCATGATCCGATCCAAATTAACGGGTACATCACTTAGGTTCGAGTAACAGCTGCCTTACAATCCGAAGTTCACATCAGTGAAACTGACTGACTGGATTAAACTCCATTATTTCCCAAGTGCTCTACTTCCAAATACTTGAACTTCAATATGACCTTAGCATCGTCCGATGCATTGATCGAAATTTTATTTTCACCGTGAATATTGGCCTTTGATTCAAACACTGCGTTCCCATTTGAGCATCCATTTGATCAATGGGACTGAACATATGGGTTTCAAGAATTTGAGGAAAAGTACAAACGTTATTTCAATATTTTCCAAGATGTATTTATTAGTACTGGAGCATGCAAATCAGGGTTTGCACGTTAATCGTCGCCATTCGAGCAGACATCACTAGTGCGCGGTTAGCTGGGTCTTAATCAGAATTTAACTTGGCGTTATACGACACCCAATATGTCTTGGTCCATTTAGCAGAACTGAATGCTCTCCCGTCATAAACTGATTCATTCATCCCACAATTCCATGCATCTTGAAAATAAATAGTTTTAGATCCTACTCAGGGAGTGGAGGACTACAGTTCTTTTCGGAAACTAGTGCTCCCCTTTGCGAGGTGCTGTCCCTTCTCAAAAAACAACCGCATATTTTTAAAGTAGCTTAAACAAGCTTTTCCGCACTGTTCAAGGTTTCACGGATGAAATGCAATCAGAAAAACTATGGGTCCATTCTGCGTATGTTAATGTACCCGTCCCATTCGTATTTTTTTCGTTTCCAGTTCCTCTGGTACATGAAAGTGCAGTTGACTAACATGGTGCAAAAGCTTCTGATAAACTGGGACTGGACTAACGACTGGAGCAAGTTCTTTATCTGCATCAGAGTGCACCAAGTACAGGAAGCACGCTGTCTGAATTGACAAGATAGCAATAGGCCATCGGTGAGACGCTCACATGAGATGCACAGCTAGATAACGTTTCAGCTACATTCCGCGTGCGTACAAGCAAGAATCAGCCCGTGTACACCATTTTCTTGGATAATGCACTGAAGATCCTAACCAATTGAGTCACATAAGACTTGATAAAAGTAGTTACATTTTTCTGCAAAGTTTGTAACACCCTTCAAATCGATCGTCTTCTAGCCTAAATATCATCTTATATGCAACTTCAGCAGCAGTTCACGTCTCTCCTACGGCCTTTAATGTCGAGGGAATTTTAGACCGCGAGCCTTTTTTTATGAGATAAGGCAAAGAAAGTGTCAACTTTGAGACGAGAAAGTGGATGGCTGCATACAGCAATTCAGGCCTCTGAATCCGGTTCGAGATCTCTCATACCCGGCCATCGCCAACATTTGTTATGCGTTCGGCATGCCCTGTTTAAATGGTGGTAACATATCGGCATCGAATGCCAGATGTTCGGAGTTCCATTCTGGGCTAGCCGTATTCTAGTGAAATTCGAATTCACTTCTTTCTATTTTGGTATGGACCAACCAGATGAATTTCACTGTAGGACAGGGACAGTGTGGGCAGCTCAAATGCATTCTACAGATTCTACAACTTCCCACAGGCAATCAGCCAACTATTCGAGATTGTGTTTGGTCATAGCCACACCACTCTCGTTTGAACGGTCATGTTCCTGTTCTGGCGTAATTATTCCGGTGAGCCCACACCAAAGGGAAGCACTGGATTCGAGTTTCGCTCTTATTAGAGCTCATCAGCAGTGCACATCCAATGGCCGTGCCGGGATTTGAACCCCGGACATCTGACATGCGAGGCGAGCGTGTAACCACTACTCCACCAACGCATGTTGGACGCATTTGAATTATCACGTCTGAACAGGCGAAACGAGATTAAAGAACCCGCAATTAAAATCCGCTGGTGCCGTTCACACACACACATAGATGCAAATCAAAGGTGTCATCACATCAATCAGTTTCTCCTTTTTTGAAATGAAGTGATCAAGAAATGTTGGATACTCCTCTGCTGAATAAATTTTTTAATCAGCCAAAAAAAACACCAGTCCAAAGGACACCTACTTGTACGGTTCACGAGAGAGAGCACACGACTTGCGTCCACTCTGATCCGATTGATATTGTAATCCAGAGACTTCTATTATTGCCTGTTGTCCATAGCGTAGAGAAAAACTGGTTGGCATGCTACTGATTGCGTAGGTGGGGAAGGTACCAGGATTGTGAATGAACACGTTTATTCCATCGTTGATCGCATTCGTGAAAATAGGGTCCTATAGATGAATAGAAACATTTTAAAAACTATGTAAATTAGCAGAGGAATGAGGGCATGTGAGCAAGGTCATACAAGTTCCTGTCAATAGAGCAGGTTATCGTGGCCGACTGTTCTTATAGGCGTGCTGTGGTTGGAGTGCGGTGAGGCAACGCTCAGCGATAAAGCAGCTACGGGCTCTTAGTAATGGCTACCAACTTGTCACACAGTAAAAAAAACAACGTAGTGAGCGCAAACTAATTGCAAACACCAGTTTGTAAGCTGCACTAGCTCCACATTGCGCCTTACCACTGAGCATCACCAGGTGATGAGTTCCTTTCATAGGATGAATGAGCTGTTTATTGAGCCCAGAATAGGAAAACTAAGACACGGAAGTGGACATAGGAGTTAATCCTTGTTAGTTCCAAAGTTCGACTATCCAGAGCCACTTATATCCTACACAGACACCAAATGTTTCGTACCAGACGAAATACACTCATTTCCAAATTATTTTGGCTCTAGCTGGAAATTCAGTCAAACCCCGGCAGAATCCCTTGTCTATGCTATTCCACAATTGAATGTGCTGCACAAATACTGCCTCATGTTTCAGTTGATACGATATCCCAAATGTCGCACTTTATTTTCTTCATGGCGCACACAACTCAAACGGTTGCTGAAAACTCTTCAACGAAGGGAAAGGGCATGATATTTTTCAAATGAGCCTACTACCAGTTCAGAACCACCGGCTACAGTACGGCTTCTGATAGAGACACGAAAAATCGGCGCGCGGGAACAGATTACCCAAAATCTCAAAAAATGGATTCGAGTTTCCGCTTGGTCAATTGTAAGAGTTCGCTATTCATGCGCTGGGCCACACATGACATTCTAGCAACATATCATATTTTTGGTCGGTTCGAAGGTGGACGTTTATCGTGGGGTTATCTATAATCAGAATAGTGATACTGTATTAAGATAAACAAGTTTGGTTGACAGGAGTACCTATATTTCTATCTTTTGTTTGGCCTCCTGCATAACTTCAGTCTGTTCAAGATTTATGATCGCAAGGTAACATTATCCTTCGTCCCCTGTAAGCAGAAGCGATAAAAGGTAAGGAAGCCTTCCGTTCCCCAAACAGGCTGAACACCGTTTCTCTTTTTGGTACTGCTGAAGAGTAGTACAAGCGAGGGGTCGAATCCGGACTCATAAGTCTTCAAAGAGAAATAAATTGGTTTACAAATGAGTGTAGTTTGCGAATTTCATGCAATTTGGTTTCAGCTGGAATATAAGGTTGACGGGAACTCAATGACTGCTCCTATCTGATGGGTCCGAAAAAGAACGAAACCGCCGTTGAAATGTCGAATTTTTTAGTAAACTGCTAAGTAGTTTCCTTTATGAAAGCTGGAAGAGCTGTTTTTCGGAAGATACCAATAAGACGGTGACGCTGCCGGAGCACTTGGTTCGTTTTCTGTACTTCGCTAACTCTCTGGGTCCTACCGGGAGCATGGCTTTATGGGTCGGTGATTTAGTTTTACTTCGAGCGCAATATATCAGTGTGAACAACAGCCCTCCAACAGATGATTGATCCCTCTGGATATGTTACAAACCTAGGGAAACCTGTATGGTGATTGCTTCAAAGTGACCCTTTTCCTGTGAACCAGTCAAAAAGTGCAGTTTACTCGTGCTGAAGTTCAGTAACTGGAGCCAAAATGAAGATTGTGGTGTGATGGCAGAGATTGCTCCCCGGCACAATCGACAAATGACGAATACCAAAAATATATCAGCATGACAAGGGATAAAAATTGAAATCTGTCTGTAAAACCTCACAAGTAACGGAACGGCAGTTTCCGTTGCAAGAGGGTGGTGACATAGCAGGATTGCATTGCACCTGGTTAAGATGACATTAACAAGTATGCTTTGGGGGTAACAGGTAAGAGTTAGGTAGAAGGTAACTGAAATTCGATGGTCGATGAAATGGCACCCTGAAGGTAAGACCCTCCGTCTAACCAAAATCTGTGTGTGTACTTGTATAGACTGTTGAATTTTTATAGCTAGTAGTGGCCGACTTCATGCTCTGTTGATCTTCCAGTAATACTGGTGAGGAATCGAATACAAATCCGTGTAAATGCTCCCCTCCTGCTAGAGTACAGTCTCAACACTGTGATTCTTGCGACATTCTTTTGATAGTAAACACTTGGGCGATCATCATTGACTCTGCTTCATTCTCAGGTATGTGCTCTTCCTGCTGTACTGGTGTGGCCTAAAGCTTCTGGAACGTTCGATTCATTATGGTTATATCACGAGCCCTTGATCAGAAATGCCCAGCGTCACCAACGTCCGAACAGTCCCAAGTGCTCAAAGTTGCATCGCACAAAATGTAAGTTGGTTGAGGCTGATGTTCCATCAGCTAGTGCTCAGTGCCTTTCGACTGTCTGGTCCATACTGACTATAGTTGCTGCAAGAAGTGAATACATTATGTATGTACATTATATAAAGCTCTAGAAGTAGAGGTTCGTGACTCCTAATTTGCCGCCTTTGTCATCATCACAATCATCATCGTGTAATTGTTCAACACCGATTCCTCGCTGCTGTACGCACAAGAATATGTTTAATTGTAGGAATCACGGTTGTGCGTGGACTGCAATACTGCCATGGTACCAACATCTACACAGGAGGATCAAGAAGCCTGACCACAAGCCAGTGGTGGTTGACGGGAAATTCCAGCGCAGTACTTCCTCAAATAACGGTTACCAACACATGAATTCAAAACCCAACCTGGGACAGCAGGAGAGCGTATTGATCAGACCTTTGACCCGTCTGATATGAGAGACTCTAGGAACGTTGCATGGACGGGTCACTGAGGCATATTCTCTTCGTGACGGTGGCTGCCACTATAGACTCCATAGGAAAGTATGTTTACTTCAACCGTATTCTCACGTGTTTTCTGTCAGGCGTTAGCTCAGCCTTCTTTTACTGTATTTCGCGGGTCACAGCACACCTTCAACATCCGAGATGTCAGTGACCTCACACCGCTCAGCCTGGTCGTTCAAATGAAGGAGTTCACGGTGTCTTAACCTTCAACAGAGCGAAGATCCCCACAAATCCCGATCTCTTCAAAGGATGCTATTGTGCATGTACCATGTGGAGAGGCAGGCTCGAACCAGTGCATGTGAATTTAGAGGTGGTACACAAAGGATGCTCGGAAAACTCCGCACAGATTCAGTGTATTCTCCAGCGTTAAAAATTAATAAGTTAGTAAAGTAGAAGTAGTGTTCGAAGTTGATCGCCACTACTTGACTGCACTTGACCTCAAGTGACGTACCCCGCCACGGTTCAATGATTGCAGCAAACTTAGCAAACTCCGTGTCCGTTTTTCGGTTACATTTTCTTAATTGGTGGAAAGGCAAATTAGAAGCCAAAAAATGGCATGTTTCGATAAATTCGTACCTCTAAAACAATTCACTCCTCTCGTCGTTGCAAACACTGACTACTTTCTGAGTCAATTTGACGAAATCGGGGAAGAGCCAGGAGTTTCACTTCCGAAGGCTCATACAAGTAGATCCAATCAACTTGCTCTTCGAAGATCAGTAACCGATTGAAGCACCTGCTAGGCAATTCCAATGTGTTGTTTGGCATGACAAGCGATCAGAAGCCCTTTAGTGAAGAGATGCACGAGACATTTGACTGGACCCCGCTTCAAACCGGTGCATCTAGGAAATGCGTCCAGGCATAAGTATTCGGTGGCTTACAAAAGCTGTCGTTCTCAGGAAGTATAGTTTGGAATTTTTGGTGTTAGCCACATCCTAAATACCGCTAACCCGAAGTGCGCGAATTGTGACATGGAGACTACAGCTCCGGTTTAATTAACATGGAACTTTGACCTATTTGGAAACCAATCCGTGAGAAGGCTAAAGGTTTTTGCAGTCTTTTATAGACCACCACAAATGTATTCAGTGCAAGCCGAAATCCACTGTTTCAATCTGAAATGCTCTACAGACATATGAGAACATTTAATTTCCAATGTAAACTCTGATCAGTCGATTTCTTAGCATGGACACAAAACTCACCTCCAGGTCGTTTAACATCACAAACGGTCGCTGACTACCATGTTTGTGATAAAAAATGAACTGAAGTCCCTTGCCCGCACTGATTAGGCGGTTGTTTGGCGCGAACGTGAAACACTGAACGTAACGTAGGTGTGCGATTTCGGTGAAGTTGTAGAATGAACACGGACCATCATGATACCGACAATAGATCAAGTGCTGATAGGCCCGCAAAAGTGTGTCATCTGGAATTAGGGGGAGTAGTAAGTAGAAAAAGTGGTGATAATTGTGGTGGTCTCAAGAAGTAACACACTACTAATAAGTTGGGTAAGAACTCATCAACAGTGCACGACAGGTTTCCACCTTCTTGGAAGTCATCAGTTAGGCGCAGTCTCCGAGTCCCTGTCAAACTTATGTTCTACTTGAACCCGAATTGAATAGTTGAAGGGGTCTATCATAAAGAAGAATGCAGCTGGATTCATTTGAATCGCCTGTCAAAACAACATTCGTGTGCAAATGAGGGTACTTGACCAAATTGTCATCTCTAAACGCTACATCAACATAAAAGAGAGAAATCGCTTAAGCAGAACAAGGCGCCACTCTTCCTTTTAGTACGTGAATCATATCACATGGTTGCATGGCTTCTAGGGTAACGGCTACTCAGACGTGAGTTTCACTCATTCTGTTGACTTACTCTTCATCTGAGCAACTTATAGGTTGGTGAGTGTTTGGGAAAATTCATGAAATTTCCCAATTTCCGTCCTCTCTAAAATTAGATCTAACAAAATGTTGACCAGTTGCTCATGGTCGATCGGTTAAGTGTTCAAGCTACTTGTCTGGAGGTCGCGGGCTTGAAACTACCTGAAGTCTTTTTAGATGCGCGCTTTTGATGATTACGAAACAGCTGTGCGGTGCTTCCCCGCTTTCCAGCATAGCTTAGCTTCACTAACAGGATTTAATCTCTATTTAAAAATACCAAAACCATCACAAAACCATCAAGAGAAACAATCGTACGCTACTCAATTCAACCTCGTCATCGTCTACAGTCGTTTGCTGCACGCAGTAATCGTTTGCACTCTATCGCCAGTGGACTCTGCAGTTCGACAACTGGAAACAAATCTTATAGTTGAAGAGCTGTATATCCTGTATCCTTCAAAAGTGAATACAGCCAGTCAGTCAATGACCCGCATTCGAATGTGAGCCAGGATTTAGGCCGTTGTCCAGGTGGGTAGTTTAAGTGATTGCCTCATCAGTAGCCTGTTGCTATCCTGTTATGTCATACAATACGTTGTATTACTTCTCGCAGATCAAATTAGTTTAGTGAAAAGCCTTGATCGATTGTTCCCCCCCAAGTTGCCGTGCCCTTCCCTTATAGAGGAGTTTAGTTTCCGGCATTATCGGTCTCAAAAGTCTTGCTTAATGGTTCTCCAGGCAAACAGACGTAATAAACCCGAATGAGGGTGCCCTGAATGGACCTGCTGCTGAACTGAGCCGTTGAGTCTAGTGTCATTTTATTCGACTGTTGAACTATTTAGTAGGACAAGTTAACTATCAGTTTCTGATCCCAAAGGCAGTAATGAGAACAATACAGTAGGAGAAGCTGATGGGCTATCAGAATGTGGGAACCATAGAAATTGATACTTGCAAGGTATGCGTGCCAGACTATTCTTTTGAGAAAGTGATTTTTGGAAAATACGAAAATTCCTACTACATGATACTCACTAACAAGGGGAAATCAAACACAACTCAACGAGAATAATCCTCTGGAAAGTATTCGTCACTCAGCATAATTACCCAGAATAGTTTCATTCAACTATAACTGAACAGATAGTTGCCCTTCTACAAAACTGCAAAAGGACAAGGCACAAACATGTTTCTACAATGGAAGGGGCTATTTGACTAATCCGGATATATTTAGCTTGGGAATGAAATCAACTGTGCAAGCCTACTATGGTCGCCTCGCTTCCGTTAGCACTGTATGCACAACAAAGATCTTGGTATAATTTTTAATGGCCAGAGGAGACTTCCAAATGGCGTTTGACTAATTGGATGGGTCCAGTATGACTTTGCGAGGAACGTGAAACTCGTCAGGTACCACATATACCCAACTATGCTCTACTAAAGAAACAACTGTTTTCAACCCCAAAATTCCGGTGAAATCTGTCCGGGGAGCCGGTCATAACTTGGAAAGGTTAAATGAAGGTGACCAGCTTGAAACTGGGTGATGTGGAGTCTTCGTGCCTTCCTGTCCTTGTTCTTGGTCGTTTCATCTTATGGCTGTATGACAGCTAAGCTTCAGCATTTACTACAGACATATTGCGGTGGTGACGATGTACTTTTGCTTAGTGTACTGCATGAATTCACCGTCTTCCTCCTTTAGTTTGAATCGTGTTTAGCTATCTGAATAGGTGCATAGGCTCAGCACAAACTTATAATTTATTCAGCATTCGGCCAACGACTGAACTGTGTGCATTCGGATGGGATGTCAGTCGGACATGTGTATGATCTAAATACGACCCCGTGGATTTTCCTTAGTTTGTCAGAGGTACGTTCCTTTCCAGTGACTGCTGTGTGTGCGTTTTGGATGATGGAAATCTAGCCATCATAACACCCGTTAGCTGTGCACTACTCCACCTGGTGAAAAACGACTTGACCGCCTGCGTTTGGCATGGCGTCCCTTGGTTAGCTTGCCTCAAATATAAAGGCAACAGCACGTGATTGCGCAAACATTCAATAGTTTTTTGTTAGTTGTCCTTACGCTTTTTGTTCTTGTGGGATTTGGACTCACGCCTAATCAGTCATGTTACGAAGTATCTGGGCCAAAAATTTATTGCGACCGTGTCAAATGAGACAACTTGCACTTGCAAGCAATACGCATCCCGGGGCTTACCAAAAAGGACATATTGCATGGTGAAGCAAGTTCATCTAGCAAGTGAGTTGATGTTAACGGAAAACTCAAGTGAATGTCGTACTTATGATACGCTTCAACAAAGTGTAGTCCTTCTTATAGCCCATCAGGTAGTGTAGATTTCAAGCTTTCATCAGCCGCATGTTCTATTTGCGAGTTAAGTGTAAGTAGAACACAAGGCGATGGCAAGTCGGGTCCGCGGCTACCTGAAGGGTACCAAGGTGGGCGAAACCACCAGTCGAACGTCGAGTAATTTTCAGTATCCTTATAAGGAGCGTTCAGTGTCAAGTCCATTTAGTTCTAACAAGATAACTGTGTACACTCTCGCCATGTGATTTAACTGCGCTTTTAAACATTTAACTACGTCATGCAATCAAGTAATTCCACAGGGTTCGGCGAAAGTTGTCTTGGGGCAAAGATCTTGGGTGGAATATTCACATCTACCGTACGGCAGATGATCTCGGAAGGTTCGTGAACTGAACCTGGCGATTTATCTCTACGTGAGCAGCTCCAGGTCACATTTTGTGAAAGCATCAAAGAAAAACTATACCCGCATTTTTTCATAAATGTCCTAATTGTGCAGTAACCTTGGAGTGATAAGCTGAAATCAGGCCTACAGTGAATGGGTTGAGCAGGTTACACGAGTTGCAATATTTTCGGATAGTTTGGAATAAATCAGCAGATCTGTTGCAGAGTAACACTCGGCTTTCGAGCCCAAGTCTTCGCTCAAAATTCCAACAAACCTTCGGATGCATACCCTGTGTTGCATGGCCGGTGGCGTTTATAAGTTGACTCCATAACTGAGCAAGTTAGTTGGTCTCATGAGCTGACAAAACGAAAAACAGCACTATCATTCTATAAACGTTGGCATAGAAAGGGAATCTGTTATCGGTAGTCAGTGAAACCTCATCCGATTTACCTTGCCTAGAAACCATTTGTATCAACAAGGCTCCAGTCACTCCATCCTCTGTGATTTTGACCGCCGAATCCCGCATCTTGTTCACAATCGCCCTTCTCATTTCAAGGAGCATTTCATCCAAACTATCAGAGTCGGATTTATTAGTAAGTTTGTCTTCGTCTGCTCCCACATAAAACGGTACTTTGGTGCAGATTGTCACATCTGGGAAACGCAGAGACTGCTGTTCCGCTTTGATCTGAGTAGCGACTGGCATCGCGACGTACGCTATGATTAGATCACTGATCATAGTGAACAGGATGCACATAACTACAAAAAAGACAACTATCCAGAAGAGTGCCAAGATTCCTTTGCGTATGTCAATGTGTTTCAGACCATGTTCCTTCCCCCTGGCATGTGTAAAACAACTGTCCGCCATTTTACGATGTCGTGCTATATAGTAGGGTAGTACTGACGTCTGTATCTTTGCGCTCGTGTCGTCCTGCTTGACATCAACCCGTGCCACTGGTAAAAATTCTTCAGTATCCCTTGATTGCAATCTGGGTGGTACTCGCAATTCCATTCCGGTGCGCTATACGTGGATTCTGGCAGACGGCATGTCGTATATTTGAAGCTGACCAGGGTCATCGATTACTTGTCGCGAAATCACGAGTCCCGTGACACTCTTTTCTCTGTCAGCTGAGTGAACTGCATTGGAGAGGTGGAATTCTTCGAATGTTCATCTATTTCCAAGTTTTCGAATACAAATTTTCACGTTTATCTGCCAGTCAATGTCCTTGTAGTGAGGCGGAGTCATTTATCGATACATGAGGCCTAACACTTTTCTTTGCGGAACATGCTACTCATAAGACTACTGAAAACGCTCCCAGAGTTGACAGCCCGTTTTACCTTTTTTGGAGCTCCTGATACAGGGACAGTCCCTGAATTCCCGTCAACCTCAAGCGCTTTGTGATTACAAATTATACACAGGTGGTGAAATACTCTCATTTGCAAACTTAGTTGACGTTAACGGGAGCCCAACTAAGTCCTAGATGAAGCTCTTTTTTGTTATATGTTTTGCGAAAAGAGATCAAACAAGATCTCGAATATCGCACCAACGAGAACGTGAGATGGCATTTCTGCAGAAAATTAAGTAGAAGAATATCATGGATAAGGGATTCATTTGGGATTCGGTGTAGTCTCCTGCTAACACCAATATGAGATCTAGAGTAAGCTTGACATCAAAAAACCGTCTCAGATCACTAAATATAGGAAAATTAAAGACCTCTTTTTTGTCTGTTGATCAGTTCGCCGAACTTCACAACTCGGTTACAACCTTTTCGTCGCCAGTCGAGGAGTTACCAACGGAGCTCTGGTGGGTGGTGATGTGAGTGATGGAATCGAAATGGCACTTTGTTCGACCTGGCAGGCAGTATGTACAATGCTCATGTACAAAACGTGTACCCTAGTGAGTGTACAATGAACTATACACATTCGGTGTTGTCCCCACATCTATGAACTGCACATCAATTGGTGAACTCTATACCGTACAAAAAAGTCGGTAAGGTTACCGGCTTTACAAAATTTCCACAATTTATGTACAACCTCCAACTTCCAAATCTGATCAGATTGGATGTCGGCAACTTGAGATTTCTGAACAATTCACGGCATTTGTTGCCAGTAATAGGGCTGGATCGAAATATACACAGATTGTGTCGACAGTCGCTTTGCATGAGAAGCCACAATTCACGATGTGCTTATAGCTCATCTACCCCAGCACGAATGTTGGCCAGAGTGAGGTGAGTAGGGCAGATGATCAGATCATCTGGTATTTTTAGGAGGGAACGAAGCGTTGTTTGGATCCTTTCAAACTAAGGTTAAAAAATCGATGGATTTCAGGGAATGCGACGCCATATATATGCCACCATCATAAGCAGCGGTGTTTGTCTGTGTTTGGCTTGGAAAATGATGCAAACTCTTTTCCGAAAGCTTGTGGCCACAAGCTTATTATTGGTTTCTGGACTAGGTTGGTTTATGTTAGGCCCAACTGCTCTTCTCCCTATTCTTCCATGAAACTGACAAGATGTGGATTCATATTTCCTCATCTTATCCATTTCATTCAAGTCCAGGAGTGCCAGTAAGCTGTAATTCATACTTTTAATCACTGTGTCAAAACACCGAAGAACTGCTATGAAGTCGTTTTCCCAAGTATCGTTACAACTATCAAATATCTAATCGTACTGACACCTTGTGGTTGACATCTCCCTCATCCCCTCCACATGTCCACGTGACATGCTGAACGATGTGCCTCGTAGGACTAATGACTCATCATCCGATCTCGCCGATCTACTCAACGTTACATCTGTAGTAATTCAACGCCTATTTCTCCATTAATGTCAGACAACCATGCTGGAAAGTCCCCTCCTCATCTTTGCGTGCGTGGCCCAATTTACTACATGTTCCAACAATTGAGGTCAAATGAGTGAGTGAAGATACGGAGTAATCCGGGCTAGCAATGCAATATTATGGGTAAGGTGGCAGCGGCGAGAATGGAAAATGTGACTAAGAAAGGGAACATCATGGGGCAAACAGGTCGCCTGATAAAATATTGGTTGCCGGGTTTTTTAACTACACGGCTATATAAAGACAGTGTCTCGAATAACTCGGCTTTGGAGCCAATAGTTCATTAGTCTTGTTTTACTGAACCGGAAAGCGTAGACAATCTCGAGGCACCAGGCCTGATTCCAAACGAAAGAACTGTGCTGCGACCATGAGCCATGGCATTGATGTCTCATCAAAACTGTCTAGATTTGGTACCACCGGTAAGGGCTTATGATAAAGCCTTGTTCGTCAAGATTTGAAGAGCCAGTGTAACACATGAGAACAAAAGTTGATGCAACAGCACTTTGAAGCACGCCTCAGTTGTTAGCAAATTTGGTTGACACGATCACACACACACACACTACTTATGTTCTTGGGAGTGATAACTTAAGATTATCCGAATAGGTTAACGCATTTTGGTGCCAAGCTTGATATGGAGGAAGAAAACTCAATTAAACGTCTTGATAACTTGCTGATAAAATAAATGGGAATGTGTAGCGTCCAATTCTTCGTCCAGCGCTCTTGGAAATGCAAGCGTTAGGAAGGCTGGTGCATCATTAGTGGGTTTATTTTTCGCTAGCAAATATAACATTAATCAAAGTTTTTTAGCCTTGAAATGGGCGGGATTCGGTATGATTGCAAGGCAATGTTTTTGATACAGGTGCAGCTATACACATGGGGAAAGTGGCAGGTTTTGATTCTGTAGTATTCTCACTTCTCCCAACCACCATTCTATCTATCACATTTGACATTTTCCATCTAGTCTACCTTGAAACGTAGTGCGGTGTTTTCTTAAAATACCCTATAATAACGCGCAAAATCGGTCAACCTCATGGAATCTGGTCTTCAACCAGATTATTGAAACATAGATAATTCGTATGGTGGGCTTTGTCTGTGGAAGAAAGTATTCATCTGTCAGCATTGTGCATCGGTGGAGAACTAGCATTTTCTTGTCAAGTTTGTGTAGTCCACTTACAAGTCGTTCCTCAACCCCTCCAACATGGTTTACTCCATTTGACAGACGTTGATTCAGGTTTTGGGACGAGTAGAAACAAAAGCAGGTGTACACTGAATGTGAACGAGAGAGTTGACGATTACCATATGACCTGAAACGTTGCCCTGGAAGTTTGCATGCATCATGGTGATTGTGTGTTCGGTTTCGCGTGGTACCACACACAGCTGGGTTTGGCCAGGCAAATTTGGCGATCTCCAAATGCACTTTGGCTGTTTACTCTTTCTAGATTAAAGCGTAGGCATCCTGTACAATGTGAACGAGAGAGTTGACGATTACCATATGACCTGAAACGTTGCCCTGGAAGTTTGCATGCATCATGGTGATTGTGTGTTCGGTTTCGCGTGGTACTACACACAGCTGGGTTTGGCCAGGCAAATTTGGCGATCTCCAAATGCACTTTGGCTGTTTACTCTTTCTACATTAAAGCGTAGGCATCCTGTACAAAAACAGGGATGAGGTGCAAAATCACTTTCAAGTGACAGGTGAACGATGGTCAATTCAAAGTACCAAGGATGCTGTGGGGTTCAGTAATGCCATCTCCAAGAAGGAGAACAGCAGATTGAAGGAAACCAATTAACTGGCTAACAAATGGTAACTTGCTAGCAGAAGTGCTCTCCCTGAGACTGAAGCAGGAAAAAACTGCTGTACAACGTTGCTGTTCTATGCGCCCTAGCTGAAAATCTCACCCCCAGTGGAGACAGCTGGACAGCGGAATCGCAAAATCAAAGACAGTTTCGGGCAACCATCCGTCCGTCATCAGAATGTTGACCTCACTTGGGACATATCAACCTATGGATTCATCCGGCTCTGAATAACTCATTTTACTTAGGTTCCGCCAATAAACACCATTCCTCACTGCGAGGTATCAAAACCAGTGTGGTACTTTGGTGCAGCTGGTGGGAAATCTACACAGAAGTGCTTCCAAATATGAAATATGGCAATCACTCGAACACAACGGTAGGCCATTATCGAAGGTCCTCCCCAAACATTCGCGAGGTGACACTTATTTGGTGATGCACAGCTGCAATACAGCCCGAAAAATGGATGACATGCAACCATGAATCACTCCATGTTGGCTCACTTTACATCGTTTGAGACCTGGGTCCTTTTATACTGAAATATCAAACATTAAATTAGATCCACGTCGTGGCGCTTTAGGTCACCCTGAGGCAGCCTCTCGGTCGCATAATTACAACAAAAACTGGCTGCAAACAGGCCAGAATGACCTATACTTAACGAAGGAGCTATACGTACATTTAGTATTGGGGCGACACTCCTGCCCAGTAAAGAGCACAGCAAATAGAAGTGCAAACATATAACCCTTTCGAGGACCCTATTTTGATTCTTATACACGGATACGATGCTTTGTTTGGCCAAAAAAATGTTTGGTCGTTAGTAGTATCAAGTGATTAGAGCGCTAATTTACCTACCAGAAGGTTCGAACCCGACCTCTGCATCTCGACTTCCCCTGTCTAGACTTGGGCGACCTGGCAGTATCCCAGCCCTCGTGCTTCCTTAGGGTGGTATGGCAGCTAGTCACCGGAAGGGTGTTACAGCTGAACGATTATAGTATCATCTGTCTAATGTTCAACTTGTGACAGTCAAGAACAAAATACTTGTGCTATAAACTAACCATCGGGAAAAGCAACTCAGAGTGAACAAGCTTGAACTGCCCGCTTCAACAAACAGAGCATACTTAGTTTTGGGTCTGTATGTAAGGCTACCTGGAACTTCCCAGTTTCATACATTCTGGGGCTCATTAAGTGCCTCTATTAGCTCTATTTTCCATTTGAACAGCAAAGTATACGCACGCGGCGAAATAAACGAATCCAAAAGCTAGAGGGCTCATTAGAAACCCGAACTGGAACTCTCGCTGAGTATGCTGCAAAAAGGACACTTCATGTTGCGGTTGGCACGACAGTCAGGATATCGAAAGATTGTTTCCTGACAACACCGATTAGCTGCTCGTTGAACAATGCCTTGGTGCGCTGTG